AGTCCTGCTGAATAAATATCTAAAGCATCTAAAATGAAAAGTGCATGCGGCATGCGTCATGCGGCATGGGGCAGCTGTGTTTGTGTTTGTGCAACTCTTTGCAAAAGCCTTTTGCTTTGGTCAGCACCAAATTTGAGAGAACGGAACCACAACAGGAATGTTTTTTTGTGGAAAACAAATGAAGTGGAAAGAAAGAAAGAAGCTGCCATATAAATTAGCTTGGAGTGTGGCAGCCACTTGAGCATGCCACAGGCATAATGTTAGAAAATGGGGGTCGCAGCAGGGTGCCAAGTGCCATTTAGCATATTTTGTCTTCTCTTTTCTTCTTTTTTCTTTTCTTTGTTTTTTTTTTGGGGGGCAATGTGGAGTGGCGTCTGCGAATGAGTCACAGAGAAGGTCGCCCCAGGATAGGGGCGTGTGGGGCGGGTGGCAGAACTATGTTAACCAAATAAATGCAGTTGAGTGAAGTTTTTAATTTGCATTAGCAGGCAGTGGGGCAGTGGGGGGAGTGGGGGGAGTGTGGGGAGAGCATTTTAATTTTACGCCATGACTCGCAAAAAGAAAATTCTAGGGAGACAACTGGATGCCATAAAGTGGCTGTTTCATTTGCGTAAAAGTCGTGCGAACGCGACAAATTGCCCCAAGGATATAAAGTCCTGGCTCTGAAAGACAAAGAAACAGCCAAAGGAGGGGAAAAAGAAATGTAAACATCTGCATTTATGACTTCTGCGGCCGGGCTAATCTGATGTTGAGTATGCGTCAAGGAAAAGGGAAGCAAATCCAGAAGGAAAGCCCATTAACCACCCTCCATTTCCCTTGGAGACACTGCCACATGGCCCTTGGATTCCAGGGGACTCGACTCTCGCACATGAAACAGAATGCCTCTGCAGGGGAGACAAACACAGTCTTGTGAAGATTGTAATTAACATAAAATTAATATCAACATGTGAGCCCCCAGCACGAGTACAGCAAACGGAACAGGTCTTAGCCGAATGTTCCCCCTCTGTGAGGGGGGCGGGGACTCCACTGATAGGATAAGGTCTTCCTGCTGTCTGGGGAAGTGCGTTCTACAATTCTGTTGATTGTTTCTGTGTCCCTGAATTTGGTAACAGTTTGTCGGCAGGACAAGTGTGTCTTGACAAGTGCCTGGCCTGTCGTCTTATGGCAGATGTCAGTGCACGAATTGACACCTCAACTGCTGGCAAAATTGTTCGCAATTTCCTTGCTGAAAGTTTTGGTGTGTAGAAAGCGACATGCACATCTACCAGTAATGCAATAAGACAAACGTTTTACTGCCTCGAAAGTATTTTTGGTCTTTAAAATGTTGAAAACTTATGAAAATTCGTCCCCAAAGCCACTCATTTTGCTTTGGAAGCGAATTGCATTGTGAGAAAGTATATATTCAGCTTTAATAAATCTTTGCAGAATTTATTGTGCAGAAATAACAGAGTTTTTCACTAATAATCGATTTGCAATGGATTTAACATCTTTCCAAGTGGTTTTAAAACATACAATATGTCTACAAATTTCAACTAAGTTTTCATAAGATTTTTAAATGATTCATTAATAAAGTATACAAAAGTGATCCGGCGGCTATAACCGATTCGTAACCGATTAATAACCGATTATTAATCGATTCTTGCTAGATTTACAGTGGAAACTGCAAAGTATATCGGGTTTAATCGCAACCATTTCGTAGCCGAGTCAGAATTGATTTAAACCCGAAACTACAAAGTATATCGGTTGCAGCCGATTCATAAACGATACGTAATCGATTAATGCCTGATTCCGAATTACTCGGAGCTCTTGGAGTATCTAAATAGAAAAATAGATGCTCCATAGGCTTAATTTTCTCCAAAACCATTACACCAATACACATTCATACCAAGCCCCATTATCCTCCCAAACTTCATATCACAATCATAAAAACCATCAGATATCCATGGCCTATCGATAAGTATCGTTTAAAGGATAAACCCTGTCCGATTCCGTGGCCATTTTGGCAAGTGCCGGGGGCCATTGACGTGGTATTTACATTCATTCCGTACAACAGCAATTATCAATTAAATCGTGTCAATTACTGGACCTAAAGGAGTACAAAGCGGCTGTAAAAAAGAGCATGGAGCATTGAGCATGGTTGCACATTTGTATAAAACTTTCTCCCTCTCCCTCTCTCTCTGGCTTTCTGTGTGCAACACTTTTTAATTACAAATACCGTAGAGGGACTCGAACAAATTGCAAACATTTTATTATTTTTGCATAACAAAAAGCAGAGAAGGAGGCGGAGGAGCGGCCGACCAAAGAGGCAAGAAAATTGCGTTTTCCCTTTGGGGCAACCTCCAACTCTCTCTCTCTCTCTCTTTCTCTCTCTCTTGCGGTGGTGTTGAACAAAACGCAACATTTTGTTGAAAGGCAGTCGCCGCTGCCGCTGCCGCATCAGTGTTAACGGTTCCGCTACACATGTTTTGTTGCAACACTGCAACACGCAAAGCTGCAAATAGTTTACCTGCCACACACTCACACGTACTCCTTTTCCGCTCTCTTTGTGTGCGTGTGTGTGTCTATGGCCTATAATTATGTTGCCTCCAATGTGGCAGAACTCGAGGCGAGTCGAGGCGAGGCGCAACGCATTAAACAAGGGCCCCAGACAAAGACCCACCTCCCTGGAGGCACCTCCTTTTCTGTCTGTCTGCCACTCCGCTCCCTCGAATCGCATTTGTGTCTGTCTGCCACTCGCGCGTTGCCTTAATTATGCGACAGCGCGGCAACACCCAAAAGCAACACTGCAACACCCCAGAGCCACCCAGCAACACCCCAAAGGCAACCCTGCAACAGCAACAGCAACAGTGACAACTCTGGCGACTCCTGTGTGCCAAATTGGTTTACAGACACCGCATGGCCGCCGTCCAGCTTCTACTTCCTGCACCACCCCCTGAGGATTGATTTATAGTTTTCATCCCCCCCATCGACAATCCCCAATCCTCTCATCCATTTGCCAGTTGTAATCTTGTTTAAATTGTTGCCAATTTGAGCGCGTCAATTTGGCCATTGGCCATTGGCCAGCCAGTCTCGGCCACAGTCTCTCTGCCACTCCATCGACTAATTAAAATACGGCTTGGATTTGCGCTCTTTCGCCATTTAAATAATTCATGTGTTTAAGTGTGTTGTTCAATTCTGATGAATTTTTAAAGCGCTTTACAAATTGATAATTGTCGTCTGCCTCCCTAAATATATAATCTAATATTTAACACAAACAGAGTGATATATTTATCGGTTTATAAGAGGATTTGTTTTAATTGTGCGATCTGATTATACCCTGTGATTGGTAGGTTCTGAAAGGGTGTATAGGGTCTATTAGGAGGTGTGGAATGAGTCACGATGAATGTGTGCCTAAGGAAGAGCCTGTAGTAGGCTGTTTAAGAATCCTCATTAAGGATGTTTCAAATAAAGAAAATTCGTTGCAAACACACAAAAATTACCCGGAAATTATCTCCATGCCTAATACGAATTTTTCTCATAAAAACCTCACCCTCACACTTGATGGGCTATGCTCTTTGCCTTGCAAGTCCATGCATGTCCATGACTTGGCAGCCGAAGGCGACGGCTGCGTTTCGGCTGCGCGTCGGCAGAGAAATATTCTTGTAGGCAGAATGCAGCTATTTAGTTGTTGTATTGCTCTCTCGTTCGCTCTGGCAGAACATTAAATAGCAGTGCAGTGACGTTCAGTGCGAGGGGAGGGGGAGATTGAAGGAATGGAAATAAAACTGAGATCGTGCGCTGCCCTAAAGAACGAAGAAGAGAGTTTACTCGGCTGTTATGTTTTTGAATGTTTCTATACATGCGTGTTGTTTCTATACACGTGGACTCCCTACTAAAAAAAACCCACTTTTTGCAACGAATCATAAAGGAAATATATTTGGATTACAGAATCGGTATATTCTGTGCCTTTGTGTTTGATGTGTGTAGTAGCTTTATCCCTTTTGCACCTGAAGTGAACATCGTTGGAGCGAGGCAGAGCGCACTAGTAGTGAGAGCACTTCTGCAAGTGAAAGGAGTACGAAGGGATAGTCCAAGTGTTGCGTGGTTTGCTGGGCCTCTGTTGCCTGGTACTGGTCTCTACAAGGATTATAAAGTTGAGAAGTTGCTGGACAGCTATTATGCGGAGATACTTACAGAAGGCCATGATGTTTCCAGAAATTTTGTCATTTATTGATAGCGTTGGCGAATTTACGTACTTACAGCTGTTTGTATGCCGGCTCAGCGCCTATCAAAAGAGATCTCAGCTATATGCTGAAGGGGAGCTGCGTTACCAGTTGCATTCTTCTGTACAATCAATGGAAGGCGGAGCTACTGGAAGTCCGGTGTACCAGCCTATACCATGCCTGGAACTGATACGTCTCCAGGCGAGCCGACTATCCAGAAACTATCCTTTCACTTCAGTTTTGAGCTCCGACTGACTATTTCCTAGTTAAATAATACTGACATGCCGAAAACACAATTCTCCAGGCCTACTTGATCTGCTCATTTGTTACAGTTCTGTCTCTCTCTTTATTTCATACAAATTTGACTCATATCGGCGCGTGCTAGTGAGCCGCTACGTGCTGTCGTTTCGGGTCTTTTTTTGCTTGGTACAAACCATGATGTAATTCTACATGTATAGTGTATGATTATGATGTATAATTACATCATGGTACAAACTTCGTTCTTCTCTCTCTCTCTCTCTCTCTCGTCAAAGCGTTCGCTCTCAATTGTGCTGAGCGTAAAATGAGAGCGGCAAGAGAGAAAGAGGAGCGGATAATATTTTATAATTTTAGCAGGCGGCTGCCACCCTATAGTCTTATCATGAAATAAATTGTTTCTTTATATTTGCCTTTCCTTACCAGTATAGGGTATCAATCTCTATTGTATGCTTATCCCACCTATCAATTGTTTTATTTGTTTGTGCGCCCACAACTAATTCTCTAATTCACACGTTTCCCCTGTTCTCTGTGTCGTTGCAGTCTTTGTCGTCGCATCATCAAATCAGCGACAATCAAGGCTAGAGGCGGCTGGAGGTGGAGTCTCCACAAATATGCGCCAGCAAACAGAATCGTCGGACGATGCTACTATAATGAGCCATATCAGCGAGCAAATATTATCCGCGACAACAGCCGACCGGGGAGTAGAAGTGGGAAAGGGGAAAAACAATGAGCAGCAGCTACAGCAGCAGCAGCAGCCGGGAAATCATCATCAGGGAAAGCAGCTCTTGAGTAAATAGAAAATCAACGAGCAAAATCAATACAAAATCAATACAAATACGAGAAGACCTCCTACCATAGAGGAGATAGACAGACAGTCAGCCAGAAATTGATTGTCAACATTATTTGTTGTCGCGTGGAAAGAGCCACAAAAACACAGCAACAACAACAACAACAACCGTAGGAATATACAACAAAAGAGTGTCATCGAAAGGAGTGAAAGACAAACAAAGGAAATCCTCTATAGAGCGAAAAAAAATGGGTGGAAAGCATCATCATGGTGCCGGCTCCGGGTCCAACGCTGGAGGAGGCAGCGGTGGAGGGGGCGGCGCTGGCAGCCTCAACTCGAGCATGTGCAACTCGGTGCTCACCAATGCCACCACAGCCACCAGCAGCAGCCTCACCCAGCAGCAGCAGCAGCTGCAGGCCAAGTACATCAAATCGAAGCGCCACCAGAGTCGCTACACCAATCTGCAGCATTCTGGTCACGACTCAGGCAGCTATCTGCATCTGAATTCGCTCTGGTCGATCTGGTACGGTGTCCTGCTCACCCTCTTCCAGGGATATCTGGCCATGCATGGAGCCTACAGGTTCTTGGGTGAGTAGTACACTAAATAAACTTTCCATCCTTTGTGTGGCAAGACACACGATTGCCACATTAGTTGCATCTGTGCATTTGTTATACAATAATAGTTTGTGGTTTAATATGTTTCTTCGTTGAAGATGGAATATTGTTTGATTTATTGGGGTTTTAATAGGAATTTAGGAGTTTAGGAGATCCTTGGATAGGGAATAATTTTATTGGGAACTTTAATTAATATTAAAATATTATTTGGAAAACTTTATTCAGTAAGATATCTGTTTTTCGTAGCCTTTAGTACAAGTTTCGAACTTTTGAAAGTACAAATTAGTTATATGAGAACATAAAGAGCCGCCAAACCATCTTAAGTCTATCGGAATGCTACCGAAACTAAGGATACCTTCATTGCAGGATTAAATATATGTTTTTCAGAACCTCTAGTATAGTTTTCGAACTTTTGAAAGTATAAATTAGTTATATTCGAACTTTAATAGGTTCCAAACCATCTTAAGTCTATCGGAATTCTGCACAAATGAAGGATACCTACATTTTATGTTATAACCTAGAAAACTTGAGGGAATTTTCTGAACTTTTCGGAGTTTTTAATGTTAAAATTATCCGATTATAATAATTTTGGGACTTTAGGTGTATTAACCCATTATATTTGATTTTAGAAAAAAAGGGCAGCCTATCTTTATAATTATAGGTGCTATGCAAAAAGTTTCCTTCTTTTCCGTTTTTTTTCTAACAATTTCCTCTCCTTTTTCCCTTAGGCTGCTCGTTGATACCCTGGAAAATTGAGCCCGTGGCGGAATTGAATCTACAGATAGTGCTCTCTGGCGTGGTATTCATACTGCTGCCAGTATTCTTCACTTCGGCGGTGTTTAAGGTGAGTTTTTTTTTTGTTTTGTTTGTTTCAAATGGTTTTAAACTGGGATCATGAGGCCCGACCCAGCAATAATTAACTCGGTACCCCTGTGGGGAGAGTCCTTTGTCCTTTGGCTGCATATTTGTGTGTGTGTGTGTGTGTGGCTGCACTCAATAATTAAATTTTTTTTGTTGTCTCTCCGGTGGTGCTCCATATTGCCGGTCCCCTAGCTCCTTTGTCTCTCTCTCGCTCTCTGTGAATTATTTTTAGTGGCATTATTCGTCGTTATTAAATTTATTTGCAAACAAAAACAGCATCAGCAGGAGCCAGAGGAGCCAGAGGAGCCGGAGGAGCAGCAGCATAGCATACGTTGCGGGTCCTTTGCATTGCAGCATTCACAAAATGGCTGACAGAGCACACAGCACACACACACACACAGACAGAGGACACACATGGACACTCGTAGTGTTGTCTGGCAACTGCGTTGGTTATCCTTTAGCCTGGCTGCACTCAGTGAGTGTCCTGTGTATGTCCTGTCCTGCCCCCTGCCCCCTGCCTCTCTCTCTCTCTCGCTCTCTCTTCTCTGCTCCGCTCCGCTCCGTTTGGCTGTTAGTGTCTCTGCTTTTATCAGCATAATAAATGCAATTATGGCTTTTTCTCTCTCATATCTACCCCTGCCCCCCCCTCTCGAACGTCTGATGACCAAACCTATACTTCCTGCAGATCCTTTCCTTTAACAATTTTATATATATGTATATGCATACATTTATCTGATGGCTGTGTTTGTGGTTTTTGTATAGTTTATTTATCATCCATCTATAAACTGTATGGCAGATGATGATGGGGCACAAAAGCTCGATAGAAAACAAACAAAAATACGATAGCCAACAAATGGCATTTACTCCTGTACATATGTACCGTACAGACACACACACACACACACGTCTTGTTGAAAGCCACTTAAAAAGAGGAAAAGATGGGACTCAGGACATGTCTCTCTCTCTCTCTCTCTCTCTCTGTGAAAGTTTTCACAAATAATTGGCTTGTTTTAAAAACAAGAGCCAAATGAAAGGAAAGACCACGTGTGTGTGCGTATGGGAGGATAAAGGATTGGGTCTGAGATTGGCTTTGGGTACCGCCATTGAATGTGACAGCCAACTACTGACCATAGACCATAGATCCTATCACAGGAAGAGTCTGGCAGGCCTCCCCCCTCCACCCCCTTCCTCTTGCCCAAATGCATAATTCCATTAAGTGTGTGTGTCCTGTACCGCCAAAAACAGTAGTTCATTATGGCTTTTAAGAGAGGGAGAGAGACACGGTTAGGGTATTTTTCGCATGTGCAAACAAGTTTTGAAGAGCCCTTGCCTGGAACATGTTTTGGTACAAAAAAGCAACAAGTTTTTAATGTGTGTCGACACGATCATTAATTTTGTGTGTTTTAACTCATTTAATAACGCTTAAAATGAAACCTATAGCAGACCATGAAATAGGCTTTTAAAAACCATTTTAGGGGTTGTTTTTGAACTAAAATGAGCCATATTTATAAGATATATCTCACTTACGACTCTAAATTCGAATGAATTATCATTTTTTAAAGGGGTTTCGGCTTTCTAATAAATTTCCAATAGAAAAAATGTGGCTATTCATTTGAAGATCTCAAAAACAACGTATTTTATGGCTCATATTTCCATTGGAAGAGGATTTAACACCTTTTAAAAGAAGGTTTCAACGTTTCCGAATAGTCTAACAAAAATCCATACCACAAAAGCCTCATTTATTCAACAATTTGCAATGGAAATGCACTTTCTGACGAGTTTACTCGTTTGACAGATCACGGAAATCTATTTGGCAAACTTTTTGAAACCACCAAAAAGGGTATACAAATTGTATGCAAATAGTGGCATGCAATTTTTCCCATTGGCCAAATAACCACAAAAGCGACAACGAACCAGGCAGGCAGGCAGCAGGCAGGAAGGACAAAAGTCGGTGAATAAACCGTCCAAAGGCTGGCGGCTATCAGTCAGCGACCAGACAGACCGCCACAGAGAAAGAGAGTGAGAGAGAGAGGGGGAAGGGGAATCCGCAGACCGCCAACGAGGGACAGAGATGGAGAGAGAGAGAGACGTTCATCACACGTCGGTGAACGTTTAATAAAAGACAGAAACAACATCATCGTCATCGTCATTTGCAATTGCAAAACTGAAATCCCAACATTGACCATTGAGGCGTGGCTATCGAGGCGAGACCAGACCAGACCAGACCAGACCAGACCCCCACGAAAGCCCCATGGAAACCCCAGACCCCAGACTCCAGACAAAAACAGCAGGAAACAGGAATGTATTGCATAGTTTTTGCTTAGTTTTTAGCAGTACAGACGCAATTACGTCCATGGTGTGGCAGTGGCAACCGATAAGGCAGAAACCATCACGGGGAGCCACAGAGGAGAAAGAGAATGGCTCCAATTGTCACACACAGCCCCCATGTACGAAAACTTTGCGACTTTTATATTTGCACAGCATTCGAAATTAAACGAATAAAGATAGAGAATAGGAATAGACTGGGGAAACGGTGAATGGGGAGTGCAGAGTGGAGAGTGGTGGGGTTGGGGGGGGGGGACATGTCTGGATAACCGCATTAAATGTCAGGGGAATAGACGTAACGAATCGGTTAACCCAACATTGGCTGGTGTGGTAGGTGCATCAAAGTGGAAAACTAGTATGTGGCACACAAGATATCATTTGCCACAGTGCGTTAGAGGAGGTTAGGAGAGAATTTGGGCGACTTTTGAAGAGAGTTTTTTAAAAGATGTTTTAATGTTCATAAAAGAAGGAGGTTCATCTTCAAGAAAAAGTGTATTTATAATCTTTTATTGCTTGCCATATAATTATTTGGATATTTGGGAATAATCTTCTGGATTATTTGTACAGTTTTGTATGTAGAAAAGATCCCAAATGCTGGAAAATTATATGCTTCAAGGGTTTATGAAAATTTGCATATAAAATATGACATTTTTTTTAAGTTTTAAAAATTTTTGGGACTTTTGAAAAGAGTTTTTTGTTCATGGTTCGAAAGAATATTTTATAGAAGATATTTTCATAAAAGAACGAATCTTTGAAAGGAATATCTTCAAGAAAATATTTATTTCTATTCTTTTTTTTCCACATACATTTTTGTAAATAAATAAATAATCTTTTATTGCATCATTTTTGTCACATAATTATTTTGATTTTTGGGAATAATCTTCTGGATTATTTCTACAGTTTTTTATGTAGAAGAACTCCCAAATGTTTAGGCTTAGAACTGTCTTTGAAAATTTGTATATAAAATTTGACATTTTTTTTAAATGTTTGTTGTATAAAAATATAAACTTTTGCCACATTTTTCTCCCTACAAAATATTCCCACAAATTCTCTAAGGTTTATAAATGTAGATGAATATTTGAAGCCGAATTTTATTTCGAAACAAAAGCTACCAGTAGTGTTTCTAGAATAAATATGCAAAATATTTTAGCATGTCGCTTAATTCCAGAATAAATGTTAGAAAAACTAAAGCCACCCTACCCCCCAAGGTGTACTGCCCTGAATAGGGGCTAATGAGGGGTTAGCCTCAGGCAGTCTCTGACATATGGAAAATGATGAGAGGGAGAGACAGATAGATAGGAGCTTCATTTGGGGGCCTGGTTGGAGGTTGAGTTCATTCGCCGTCAGTGAAAAAACCGCGAAATGCTCTGGCACATTTAAATGCATTATCTCGCTGGGTTTTTCCACTTACCCGCACTCCCTGCAGCTCCACCGCCCCCCTTTGTGCACCGCCACGCATGCACTTCAAATGCATTTTCCCTTTTTGCAAATTGCAATCATTGTTGCTGCACGAAACGAAGCGAAACCAAAAAAAGAAGAAGAAGAGAGCCAGAGCCATAGCCAGAGCCGGAGCCAAAAACCCGAGCAAGCCAAACAAAGTGAACCATTTGCAGCTGCCGATGCTCCTGGTCGGGGCTCCTGCTCCTCTGCTCCTCTACTCCTGGCACTCAACCGGCTCCGAATGTGGCTCCTTCATCATGCTGATGTCTGCTTGTTTTACCCGGTACTTGCTGGGATATTTAAAGGGTATATTCTATACGAAAGAAACTGGAAACATAAGGGGTACTTATGAGACGTCTAGATGAGCATCTCTCGGGCTAAGCACTCCTCGGGACACCTCTCTAAGCTCTTGGAAAATATTGGAAAAAATTACCAGCGTCCGTATGGGGTATTCCCATTGTCGATTCACTCGCCTGAGGCTTGGGTTCCCCCTTGTTTTTAATTTAAAAGCCCGACAGCTCGCATTTATTTATATATGTATGTTGCACGTGATTTTTATGTTCTATAGAGTGCGCAAGTGTATCCTCGACAGGATTTATATATGGGATATACGCTTGTATATATAAATATTTCATTTTGCCATTTGTCACGTGCAAAAGTATTCCCCGTTTTTGTGCTGTGTTGTTTATGCGCCAACGCGTCGTATGCGCAACGCCTTTGTGTGTCTTCCTCTATCAAATCGCGATGTGTTTGCCATTTTTTATGCTCATAAAAAATGCATTCAAAAAAACCACGTACTCTTTATATTTTTCAGGATTTTGTTGTTGTATAACTTTTATATTAATTGCCCCAGAGGCCAGAGGGGTCACCAACAAATCTGTGGTGTGGTCAGCCTCAATGGTTGAGAGATATCTCAACTCTTTGACAGGACTCTAGTGCTGTACTGCCTGTTGCTCATCTATGATTTATGCATTTTTGGGTGTAATTTATGCAACAAAATTCGAGTAGAACCTGCCATAAATGGCAGTAAAGGGGCAGTAATTTAAACCGATTGTATTGCCCAGAGAATGAAGATTGATTGGCTCACTAATTTACATTGATTCAAGCTGGAGGGTAAGATAATAATTATGCTAACAGTATTGATGAAAATCCTGTGTCTGTGCGATATCATTTGACTGCCCTGAAGTCGTTGGCAAACTAGGAATAATTGAGTAGTTTGTGGCTTTGGCTTTGGATTATTGATTCTTGGGAATAACCAAAGAGAGTTCCAGTTGGAGTAATCTACATATATTGCAGAATAAAGTAAAGCATTATTTTAATGTTGAGGATTGGCAACGAATGAGAATGTGTTTTCTTATCGAATATTGAATATTTGTTAGTTCTGCTGTTGATTTCATTCTGTTTTGTGGTCTTCCAAGTCTTTATAAAATTCTTATAGTTAAGGGCTTTCCAACTAAAGGTTGTCCCTATTTCTAGGGATGTTTTTCGTTCTTAAAATTTAAATTCTTCCAAGGAAGGGCAGTTCTTAGGTTTTTAAGGGATTCAAAATCTTTAAAGAGGCTCTCTAAACTTTCAAGGAATTCTTTTTTGTGTGGTATTCCAAGGCTTTTTACAATTCATATAGCTTAGAGGTTTCCAACTTAAGTTTGTCCCTATTTCTAGGGATGGTTTTCGTTCTTTAAATATAAATTCTTCTAAGGAAAGGCAGTTTTTGGTATTTTTAAGGGATTTAAAAGCTTAAAGGGGGAGGGAAAGTATTTTTTTTGTAACAAAATAGCCAGAAAAATATAGTCTCTTCGTCTCTCTATTAAAATATGCCCCTGGCCATGTCACCGCAAATGAAAATTGTGTCATTTCCGATTCACATGCAGCTTTGATTGTATTTCAAATACAATTTTTGTTAACTATTATTGAAAAAGTATTATTTATTCAATTAGAAAATTTTAAAAATAATTTATAAATTGAAACAAAAGCAACATATTCTGCATGTGCCAAAAGCATTCGGTAAAACCGCCAAAATAAATGAGAAAAATCCACCATTTAGTTGAAACAGAGAATAAATAATGAAAGCCCCATTGGATACCCACACACGTATTCAATAGGGCTTTCATGCCTAAAAGCGAAACTGTGATTAAAATCGAAAATTTCGGGAAAATAAATTGCATTGAAACTAAATTATTTGTTCATCTTTCCAACAACAAAATATACGGTTATTAAAGTCCCTCTGATAGAGCAATAAATAACATTTTTCCCGGAAGTAGAGCATACTCTTGAGAAAATTTCAATTTCCGCTCTTGGGGCTGGCCCAGCGATGGATCAAGGAAACGGCAGAGCAGGCTCCTTCCCCCCCCCTCCCCCCATGTGCATATCTTTTCCAGCTGGCAAATGAATATATGAACAGTTTTTTTGGCACACTCCAGTGAACAAACTATATTTTTCCATTTAATAATCCCCCAAAATTGTTTGGTTGACTTCTTGACAGGTTGGCAACTTGGCAAACGACGGCATTAAATTGGCCACTGGCGCCAGAGAGCGACGCTGCACTCTGGCCCCCCACGACGGACTCGAGGAGGAGTCACGCGGCGGCACGTTGCGTGCCCTGTGGACACACGGCGGACCGACGGCGGCCTTTGTCCATATCCTGATTGCTCTTTGTTTGCTGCTGCCGCGGCTGCTGCTCGAGGCACGCATCATCGAGAACGGACTGTTGCCGAAAGGTGAGTGAGCATAATTAATAGACCGACACCGAACCGAACCGAACCCGGCGCACAATACATTTGTTGTGTGGCAGCTCCTGGGGGGTATAAAGAAAAGTCACTCTCACAGAGGGGCATGCAACAGAAACGGAAATGTTTAAGTATGCAGCGAGAGGATGCCGCCACTGTTGTTGCATCTCCGGTACTTTTTTATGGCCGTCATTCCAAAAAGGACAAGAGGAAGTACTTATTGTATCTTTTTGGAGATGAGTATGACAGGCAGAGGGTTCTTTTTGTGGCACTGAAATTTGTAGAAGGAATAACCGAGGGAGCAGCATTATTTTAATGGTACTAATGAAAACCAACACGATCGGACATGCCTTGAATTTGCTGTGCACATTTATCTGTATTCTCCACTGTGCTAGCATTTTTGCATGTATTTTGCCTACAGTGCAGTCGAATTCGTCTTATCTCTTGATCTCTGCAGTGCTGCTAGCACGCAATAAAAACTCACTCTCTTGCAGTGGCTTCCATTCCATCGCTCTCTCGGCAACAACAGCTTTACAGTTTGTCAGCAATGAGGAAAAGAGAGACGCCTCGAAGCTTACATTGTTGCTTTATATTTATGCTTCTTCCTCGGACTGCATTGCGTCGCTGTTTCGTTATTGTTGCTGTTTCATTCTGTCACTGCTCTTTTTTGCGTCGATCCTCTCACGTTAGACACACTCCCTCGCAATTGCTTCCATTTCAGCACTCTCTCGGCAGCAAAAGTTCTGCTGTTTGTCGGTCACGAAAATTAGAGAGAGCTTCGCTGCTTGCATTGTTGTTGCTGTCTCACTGCACTGGTTCGATAATCGGCTGTCGATCTCGCAATTTCTGTATTATAATGCGCTCTCAGCAACAACAACAAAAACTCGCCATACACTCGGTTGAGTCTTCGTCTCTGTGGTTTACTCTCGCTCGCTCTGCGCATAAAAGAACGGCACCTTATTTTGCTGCCTACGGTTCTCTGTCTTTTTTTAACATCTATGAACACGTTTTATTTTGCAAACACAATCAGGCTCTATAAAACTACAAAAGACTTTAAATAAACCACAGCAGCAGGGTAACCCTATAGTCTCAATGCACGACTGCTTGCATTCTTGGTGAACTATTTTTATTGCATTTCGATTATGCACTTCCTGAGAGACAGAAAGAGGGAGCAGAAGAGCTCCACAGGGGATTGCAAGGAGGCGAATGGTAGATGGATGGAGCACAACTATAGGTAAAGTATTGTTGGGGAATGATGATTGCAGGTGGAGAGAGGGAGAGGGACAGAGGAGTGTTGGGTCGCATTGTTGCCTGGCGAGAGGATTGCAGTTATCCTCAGCTTCATTGTTGTGTCTGTCCTGCCATACGCCGCGTGGTACATTGTCATATTGATGATGGCGTTGATGGCCCCTCTCCCCCCCACCCCCACACACAATGACAATGATGACAACTATTAAACCGACCTACGACCCAACAACAGACTGCAGACTGCAGACTGCAGAATGATGCATGTGAAACAGAGGCCTGCCAGGGCCTGCAAAATCAATCATAATAATTTGCCTTTGTTGATGCAATCAATTTTGCTGTTACGTTTGCCATTCTGCATTTTAATTAAATTATTTGTGTGCCTGAAATGAACGAAAGCTTTGTGCTTTCAATTTAAATACATTTACTCTCCATATTCTCCATATGGCAGGGACACACGGCACTTACTGTTTAACCAAGATGTGTTTAGGATGCTCTGAAGGACGGTTAACAAAGTGAGCTTGTGGGAATATGTATGTGTGAGGGAGGGAGAAGAACAAAAAAAAAGTATATATAGCAGGTGGAGGAGGAGGAGCAGCAGCAGTAAGAGGCGCAGCAGAAGCAGCAGCAGAAGGCGGAGCACCAGCAGCAGCAGCACCAGCAGAAGGAGAAAGAGAAACAGCTTCAAAGGCAATCGCTGGGGAAATCTGCTAGCCAAACATCTACAATACATATTTGTGTGTGTGTGTGTGTGTGTGTGTGTGCGCAGTACGAGGTACTACGATATGGTATGCATGACCGCTCGACAAACAAAAACACAACCGAACGAGCGTGCACACAGGCTAACAACCGCAGGAGCAAACACCGAACGCAGAAGGACAAGGCAGAGGGCCAGAAACAGGACCAGCACCAGGACCAGGAACAGCAACCAGGTTGACAGGGAACGAGGTGCGGCCATTATGGCCAGCAATAAGCCATGTTATTAACAGAGGGCAAAGGCGGCAATATCCGTGGCAGCGGAAGGCACCCAAGCGACCCAAAACTCTATGCAAATGTTGGCCCGTAGGCAAGTGAGGCAGGACGCTACTCTACTGAGTCCTGTAACAGGAGGAGGCCTCTTTCGGTGCATACATATATCTCTGTCTGCCTCTGTGTGTGTGCTTTGTGTACACCCGGATCGACGTGTCTCACATGTGAGGCCAGAGGAGAGGGGAGTGACAGTAGCACAGTAAACTAATTCCACAGTTAATGGCAACCAGCAAACAGAACAGACTAGAAAAAAGAGAAACTAAACCAACTGGAAGGCAGCGGAAATTAGTTAAAATAACACGAATCCAGGGATGCCCTGCAAAAGCCAGCGAAAACCTAGAGAAAGAAGGGATCTTTAAGATATAAAATATAGAATTCCAAATGGTCTGCTAAGGGGAACATTCTATGGATCAGAAATCCCGAAAGCACCAAATATATTCCTTCAAGATAGTTTTTTCTCCAAAATAAAGAAGATAACTTCTTTTAGGACCTCTTTTAAGAATTCAGTAAATCAAATCTAAGAGGAATATTTTTCTTCTAAAAATTATTTGATTCATGGAAAGCTCTCAATGAGAAATCTCTATAAAATAATTCCCCCAGATACATTCTGAGTCCCACAAAAATACCAATCCCTTTCACAGTTTCTTTCAAAATCCTTTAGCTATAATGAAGAGTAAAAGAAGTCTTAAGATTTAATCCCAATTTCTGTTTAAATATTTCGGTATTTTGATTCAAGGGTTTTCCTCTTTCCATATGTTTTTCCTCCAAGTCGAATGCTTCCAGACGGCACCCAGTGTAAATGTTCTATGCTCTCCTCTGCAGCAAACATCCTTGGATACTACACATACCCCTAGAACCCTTTCGAACCCTTACGTATGCTAAATGCCCAGCGACTAGGGCACCAGTAGCTGTGGCAAGTGGCAACAACAAAACCAATGAAACAATGACGACCCACAGATGCAGGCAAACGGCAGCCAGAGGCAAATCAAAATTAACTACATTTAAAGTGAGTCAAAGTCCGGGCCCGGACCGGGATCCCGCAGTGCCAGGCCCAGATCCCAGATGTCGGGGGTTTATTGAACCAAAGAGAGGGATAGAGAGAGAGAGAGACAGCAGACAAAGGCAACATCGGTTCGCGGAGTAAATTAAAAATGTGGCCGAGAGACCAACATTGGAGTTGGACTCGACAGGACTCCCAAGCCCCACAGCCCGACAGGCTCCATCCGACATTCCACTTGCATTGGCATCATAAAAACCCATGACGAGATGAGTTGAAATCCTCGCTGAATCAATGATTGACTGGCTGACTGACTGACTGACCCCCGTCTGTGCCCCTCCCTCTGTCTGGGCTCTGTGATTTTTCAATTAATTTCGATGTTATTTTTGTTGTTTTGCCGCTGCTTTGGCCGCCTGCTGCCTGCCACAAAGTCAATCTCTTGTCGCTGCCAGACATTTCCACCCCCCCTCTCTCTCTCTCCCACCGAACTGGGGGAAATTGTTTTCGCACAACGTTTTGCAGCTGCAATCCCCATCGCTTTTCCCCTACTTAAATTAGAAAATCATTGGCACAAATAAAATCCTGCAGTCAAAGCCAAAGTTGCAGTTGATAGAAAAAAAAAGGGACAGAGAACCCAGCGAGAGATGTCCGAAGAAGTTAAAAGAGAAAGAGAGAGAGAGACACAGGGGGATGCCAAGGGGGGGGAGGGGAGCACAGCAGTTGGTCAAGCTAAGTGCAATGCCTTGTCGCGACTCGCGACTCCTTTGGCTCCATTTTCACGCTTGCCTGCACTCCCATCCGCTCTCCCCCTCCCCCCCCTCTCTGGGCAATTTGTCAACGAGGCTCTGACATCCTTAAAGACTTAAGCTCCTCCAAGATTGGCCTGTCAGACGGCCCTTCCTGATGCGCTTATGGCTGTAAGTTGCAGAATTATCATTTTCAGCAAGCAATTAGATGCATTTTCCACAACCCCTCCCCTCCCCTCCCCCTTTGATCGACAGGCCAATGATTAGTGTTTAGGCCAAGGCTAGGGTGGAGGTGGGGGGCTGGTCTATATTCCATAATTCACGCAACTTTTATATCAGCATAAAATCAGACTAAGAAGCGATGAAGAAATTAGGCGTCGCGGGCCAATCGTAAAACGAATGAAAGAAGAACGAGAAATGCTTTTAAAAACTTTCCACCAACTCGCATAAAAAGGACCCACCCAAAAAGGGGGCGTCGGAGGGGCACAACTGTAGCCACAAATGCATTTTATGATTATGTTGCATTAAATTCGCCAAATATTTGATGACTAAAAGGGATTTCCCTTGCCGAACAGGAAATGAGGGAGTGATAAATCAGTGGGCGAGGCAGAGGCGATAAGGAAATTAATGGATGCTCCTATAAAAGGAAGGAAAATTAAGGGAAAAACAGAGCACCTGCAAAAATGAGAAGGGGATAAAGAGCTTATTAAATTGGCAGCCGGTGTTTTTTTATATTTAAAAGCCAAAGTAGATATTTATACCCCTTTTTCCATCACCTCTAGGGTTTATAGTTAATGGATCTTTTGCTTAATAGAATAAACTTTAATGGATTACATTTTTTGATTCACTTTTTGTAGTTCCAATCCCTGAATACTCCACTCAAACCTTTTCTGTTTCCTAGCGAGAGTTCTCTAGAGTTTTCTCGAAACTCTGAGAGTTACAAAAAATAAATATATCCCCAAGGAAAAACTCAACTCCCCATCGAGCCATCAAATGCCGCTTTTATGCGCCTAACTTGAAAGTAAAAGAAAAACTTATTAAAATGCAAAAAAATCAACAAAAAGTAAGAGAAAACTTGGCAAAAGCCGGCAGCTGTTGTAAGACAATGAAAATGCGTTAAGAACGACGGAAGGATCCGCTGGAAGACCACAATTCCTTAATTAATTTCATTAATAGATGACACAAAAATCACTGTCCGAGACGGGATGGCAATTTTTATGAGGGGGAAAATCACTTATACGCCATGTTGCACTCATAAATAATTAATGCAGACATCTCTCTTCTTCAGTAGAAAAACAAATGAAAAATGTAATGGCCGTGGCAAGCGGGAGAAGGGGAAGGAAGGAAGGAGAGAGCCTGGACCTGCGCCATATTGAGCGCATAAAAGGCTGGCTAAACAGGCCCTCTCCGATTACGTTAAGGATGCTGGTCCTCCGGAAGTGGCTAAAGACGTTGAGCCCCGGCCTGTAGGTCGTCGGTTGTCGGTTGTCGGTCGCTGGTTCGTGGCTCGTCTCTGGCCCGAAGAAAACTTATCATTATTCATGCTAAAGACTTAACGAGCGCGCAGGCTTTGGGGTTGAAGGGAGAGAACAGCCCCCAGTCCCCCCTCCCCCACCCACAGTACGTTCGTCGTCTTATCGCAACTATTACCGCAGCGGGAAGTCCCTCCTTCACTGCCAGTGCCAGTGGGCGTTGCCCGACTTGGATTTGCGCATTTTCATTACTCTTATCCTTGGAGCTTCCTAGCTGTTCCTCCTTGTTCCTCCCTGTTTGGCCGCTCATTCTCGTTGGTGTTATTGTCATTGCCATAATCAAGGAGGTGGCAGAGTCAAGGCACCAAGAGGAGCAGAGCGTGGAGGCTGCCTCCGGGTTAATCTTGAGATTTTCGGTGTTGTCGGTTTTACGAGCCACTTGCCGCCGTCGCCGCCACCGCCGCCGCCCCTGCCAGGGAGACGACACCAACGGCAACGACATATTATTATGGCATCCATTGTTGTAATCCCGCTTCAGACTCAGTTTTCGTGTCTTTTGGGGGATCTTCCGGCATTGTCTTTAATATTTGTTCGGCAATTCCCATTTTGAGGACTTTCTTTTATTTCCCACGACCACCGACTGCCCGCTGGGCAAGAAACCCTCCCCCCGACCACCGACCCCCGACCGCACTAATAAATAATTTTATGAAAGTGTTAACTTGGCAAATTTCCCGCTGCTTTTGGTTGGTTCCTTTATTAACTAGGGCATCCTCCAAGTATCCTCGTAGGATAGGATATGCAATAACCGACATTATAAAGTAAACTAATTAGCGAGCTTTGGAAAGGACACACACCCCCCATCGAAGACAGCAGCCCAGGAGCTGCCAAAGACAAACAAATTGTGCGGCTCTGAAGTGGGGCTTTAATAAGGGATTAGACAAGAGCCAGGAGCCACAGCAGCGAAATGTCCAATTCCCAATATCCAGGGGCCGGGCAGCCTGTCAACAGGATTCCTTTATGCCCGATTGCCTTTCAATGAACAAAGTTGGGGCTTAAGAGCCTGTAAGCATTTCTGAATCTGTTCTTGGCTAATAGCTGACTAAAAGATTTTGTGTTTAGCATAAAATAGGGTTTCTAGGGGAAATTAATCAAGGTTTAGGGCAGAACTAGAAAGAGTTCCCTTTGGGTAGGGCATAAAACATGGATTTTAAAATGTGTGCAATCATTTTGTGGACAAAACTATGGCTTAGAAGAGGCTTGCTTAAAGAACTAACCAGAAACCAGTCGGAATGTTTGAGGGAGCTTCTGTGAAAACCCACCCTTAAGTGCTAAGCCACACTGGGAGAGAGCAAGACAAGCTTCCTATTGGTTATTTCGGTATCCCATAGAAATATGTTAATTGCTTAAGGAACAAACTAAAAACCAGTCGGAATTCTTGAGGAAAGCTCTGTGAAAGCGCACCCTTATGTGCTAAGCCACACTGGGAGAGAAGTATGGTAATAGTTTTACCTTTCATTGGTTGTAGACTTCTTTAACTGTCTCTAAAACTTAGTTTAAATTAAATAAAAAGAAAATCCATTTAAATTTTGCAACCGCTAATCCTCATTCCAAATGTTCCACCCAGAAAAACCAGATAATTTTCATATAAATCCCTTCAATATCTCCGAAATAAACCCAAGAAAATGTTCAGTTTAGTAGCCCCTAGAACTTAAACAATTTCCCCTGCGAGTAACTCAAGTATTTGCCAGAAAAGAAAACTAAATCTTCTCCTAATTGAAATACATAATTCCAGGCACTCGCTTGGATAGGATAACCGTTGATTCTGGCATGCATTACCGTAGATATTTGCAGATTTCAGCTTATCCTTCGTTTGCCTGATTGGATGCTCCAGGAAGCGCCAGGATGCCCCTCCCCCCCCAGAGCACACTCCTTGTCGAACGAATGCTTGACCGTAATAAACATCGATATTATTATGCTTATAGTTAAATGGAAGGAATCTGTAGATGGTGGTCGAACGATAGATGGATCCCAGAGACGGCTGCCACCATATGCTGCAAATGCGCGTTTAATTAGACCAGGGGGGCGGGGGCGTGGCTAATGGCTACAGCACAATCCTTGCTGTTGTTGGACCATTGTTTCGCTCCGGCATTCGAATGCGAACGGAAGTGGGATTTGTATGGGGAATAGTTTTCCACTCGCTTTCTCTCTTGGCTTTTCGTTTGGTTTTTTTTTGTGCTTGTTTTTGGCCTGGCCAAATCCTTTTGTGCGAACAATGGCTGCCACAATTTCTCCTTTGTGTTGTAGTCCAGGCAGCATACCATTTTGGGCAGTGCTGGCGAGATTTAGTCAACATTTAGGGCTCCGACCAGAGCAGAGCTCCACCAAAGGGATAGGTAGATACATTCAGGGGATTCGGAGATACATTTGCTGGGGCGATACATGTTTATTAATCAGTTGGGCGGGGACCAAGCCTCCCCAACGATGCCTCATTTAATTAACGATTGGTTTGGGGAGAGGGAAGGTGCTCCAGATCCTGGCGCAGGGGCTGTGGCTTGTGTTTATTTACTGCCCAGGCAGCATCCCTCTCTGTGTGTGTGTCCTTAACAGGTGCTTTACATGTAATCCTGCGTGATGTATTCCAATTAGAGATGCTCGAGCTCAAAGCAATTAATTCCATATACTTGAGCAGCCATCAATCAAGGCAGTGCCTTCTGGCTTCTCTCCAACACTCTCTCTCTCTCTCTCTCTCATCCTTTCCGGCTGTCTCTTCTTTGCAGAACAAATTTGGGCCACTGAAATGGACTTTGTTGTTATCAATCGACGCAATTTGATGGCCCTATCGGTGGTGGGACCTGCCACGGCCCTGCCAAAGCACTACCATCAACAGCTGCCGAACGAGCTGGATGAGGACCACTCACAGACTTTGAACATGACCGCAACCAGCAGCGGCAGTCAAGAGGAGGAGGACTACTACAACGACACCATGTTCACGGCCATTCGGGGACTGGGACCAGGACTGGGAGGCAATAACAACTTGTTCGACCTACGACCTCAACCAGATAAGGCAGCAAATGCTGGCGGCAGGAAGAAGTCTACGACGACGACGACGACGACGGCGGCGGCCAAGACAACGACAAAGACGGCGGCAAAGACGACACCCATATCCACAAAATTGAATGCGGGCAAATACTTTGAAGTGCCCGATTTAATTAATCAAGATATTGACGAGGAGGAGCGCCAGGAGCTGGAGGAGGCCATACACGACGACGAGGAGGACGTGGATCTCTCGGGGGAGGAGCAGGGCACGGTTATACTGCCAGACTTTGATGAGTTTGCTCCGAAAACCACAGGCAGGAGCAGCTCCACAGACGACAACGACGACAGCAGCAACAAGTTGAATATCGAGAATTGGCAGACATTGGGGACACTGGGGAAGGACTCGGGATCAACGACAACCGAGGCGCCAACAACAACAACCACAAGAAGAAGCACCACTACAACAACCACCACGACGACGACGACGACATCGACGACGACTCCTGCCACAACGACAAGGACAACCGCAGCGGCGGCAACAACCAAACAGCCACATCCTCATCACAGCAAAACCCGAAAGCATCACAAGCAGCACCACAAGAAACAGCAACAGCAACAGCAGCAGCAGCAGCAGCAGCCGCGTCGTCATCATGTGGCATCGCACGAGCAGGCAATGCTGGAGAGCTACCCTGGAGGGGAGCCGGAGGAGACCACCACGCGGGACAGCAACATCCACCGCGTGCGGCCCGAGGTCCTGCCAGAGATCATCATACCCTCGACGCCAGTGTCGAGCAACTCCAAGATCATAGCCATCAAGCCGAAGAACCAGAAGCGAAGGATCAGCAAGCGTTCGGCCAGCGCTGGCGTGGAGATCGAGCCGGAATATCAGCTGGGCGATGGCACTGGCAGCATCAGCTCGAGTGAATTTGTGGCCAAGTCCAACGAGGACGAGGTCGAAGAGAGCGAGGACTTTGATTTGGAGGAGGGAGACTTTCAGTCGGTGCCGGCCCTGACGCCAGCCACACCGGCACCGCCGACCACACCGCCCGGCAGCGACTACGTGCGGCTGGATGGCTTTGCCGGAATGCTGCAGCTGTTCTTTGGCATTGACAAGCCCATCGATGTGGCCATCTTTGCCCAGCCGCCGAGTGCCGAGTTCGTGAACCTCCTGTGCGCCCTGCTGGTGTGGACCGTGCGCTATCCGGCCGTGTTCTGGAACACCTCCAAGTCCTTTGCCTGTGTCTTCAGTCTGCAGATGATTGTGGCCGCGCTGGACATCGTGCTGGGCTACGTGGGCGTCTCGAATCTGTACAAGCTGCAGATCTATGCCGAGGCCATGCCCGTGCATCAGCCGGGACTCATACTGAACGGCGTCGTGACGCTGGCCCTGTATCTGCTGGCCACGGCCCTGGTGCTGGCCTCCTCGATGGTCATGTATCTGTACGGACATGGTCGCCTGGCCACCCGCATGCGGGATCGCTCGATCATCACTCTGAAGGCCAACGAGACCTGGATTTACTTTGCCCACTGCGCCTCGCTGTGCTTTGTCCTGGCCCTGGCAGTGGTCAAGGCACCGCTGCTCAACGATCTGAGTGCCACCTACAAGAACAATCTGCATTGCCCCACGTTTCTGGCAGGTGAGAATATGGCAAACCGATTAGTAATTGAATCGAGTGATTGTTTGGTTCAATTATTAATTGGACGGCACCAACAAGCAGGTCCAACCACGCCTTGAACCCCTTGTCTGTGGTCTGTGGCCCCTAATCCAATTAGCGGACATGGGGCTTGAAAACAAAAGACTATCGAGTGTCGCCTTTGTCCAATTAAACTGTCATTCGCTTGCCTTAATCTTAATATTGGATTTCCATTCTTTCTTCCTTTGTCTGTGGCCTGCCCTTGGATGCGGATTGGCAGCTCTCATTGGTGTCACGCATCTGTTGCTGTGGATTGTCGTCTGGCTCTGTCTGACGATCAAACGGCGCTGGCACTTCAAGCTGCCGCCGCTGGACAACACCTACGGGGGCCTGCTGAACAAGGCCAGTGCCCAGCCCCTGCTGATGTCCAGTGGCCAGCGGACGGGCAGCAACTCGAGCAGCGGCGGCAACTCCACCAGCACGACCATGAACGGCGGCAACGACTCCACCTCGAAGCCGGACATGATGAGCACGGCCACCAGCACGGAGCTGGGCATGGGCATGGGCATGGGCATGGGTCTGGCTGCCCAGGAGGATATCTACTGGCCGAAGCTGACGCCCAGCTCGCCCAAGCTGAAGGTCACCTTCAATGAAGTTACGAGTACGTCTGATGATGTCCTACTAATTGGTGACCAAGAACAAACTGATGGCAAGCGGTAAAAAATCGTTTTTTAGTTACAAAAACCAAAAAAAAAACCAACCAAAAGAGCAGATCGGCTCCCAATATTTGTCCGTTGTTTTTCTATTAACCTTTAGCATCTAGTTTCATTTAGTTTTTGTCCACACTGCACCTCCAAAAACACACCCACACCCACGCACACAGATAACCAAAACCATAATCCCGTACACACCCCAAGCTATTATCTGGAAAACCCATGCACAATTTTCAGGAATTTCCATTTTCTGTTTCATCTTCCATTCATTTATTTTTCGGCGTGTGCCAGTGTGTGTGTGTGTATCTGCACGTCTCATTAAAAACTAATTGCCCAACACTAGTTGTGATTTTGCAACACCAAATTTCGCTCACACATTTCCAAGCACTGTTTTGATTTGTATTTTTTCCTTTGTGTGATATTCGTGCGTGCATTTTGTCCTTTCTGTTGTTTGATTTGTCCATCAACCCCAAAACTAAAACTGATTGTTCATACTAAAACAGAATCATATATACGACATATATATGTAGATGTATTGTATGTCTAGAGGATGGAGGATGGAAGGAAGGAAGGCTGAAGGCTGAAGGATGTTTAATGATGAAGAGAAACTATTTTTGTTCCGCTTGTCGCCTGTTTTTTATATACTCGTCAAGAGATTCGTTTGTTGATTTTCATTTTTCGAATTGTTTAATAATTTCTAAACTAGAAACTTAATTACTACTAACTCTAGCTAATTGAGTGTGTGATGTGATGGCCGAAGTGTATTTCAATTAACAAAATACTAAAAACCAATCAATACTTTCGCACAATTTTGTATTGTGGTTGTTGCTGTTCGTTGTTGTTGTTGTTGCTATCGTTGTGTGTTTTGTAAATTGTTTAACTAACTGGAAAACGAAACCATTAAACTAACACAAAGCACAGGGAGAAGGGGGGTTTGTTCCGACCAAAACAGGGAGTCGAACTAATGGTTGGAGGAATTTGGAAAGGTATTTACACAGAAAAATAGTAGGGATTTCCAAACTGATAGTTTTTAAGGAATAAACAATCGAAACTACAGGGATTTCTATATATTTAAAGTGTAAATAAAGTAGAGAAATAGTTTGACAATTTTTAAGGAATAAACTACAGAGATCTACAGGGATTTTCATCTCTTTAAATCGTATATAAAGTAAAGAAATAGTCCGACCATTTTTAAAGAAGAAACACTAAAATCTAAAGAGATTTCCATCTCTTTAAAGTGTTTGTAAAGCAAAGAAATAGTCTGAAAATTTTTAAGGAATAAACACTCGAATCTACAGGGATTTCCATCTCTTTAAAGTGTTTGTGAAGTAAAGCAATAGTTACAAAATTTTTAAGGAACGAACTACAGGAATTTTAATCTTTTCAAAGTGTTTGTAAAGCACAGCAATATTTTATCTATTTTTAAGGAATAAACTACAGGCATCTACAGTGATTTCCATACTTTAAAGTATATACAAGGGAAAGAAATAGTCTGAAAATTGTTAAGGAACAAAATACAGGGATCTACCGGGATTTCCAGCTGTAAAAAAAGAGTCTGACAATTTTTAAACACAGGAATCGATAGGTTTGAATTAATTCCATCTATATAGTAATTGAGGTACTGAAATATTGGGATAATATTGTACAGGTAACCCAAACCGAAGCTTGTTACGCGGGGGCTAAGCAAAACCAACCGAGGGGTGCTGCTGCATCACCCGGAAACGTTTAATAGGAAAGGCAAGAGATCAGAGACTACTTAAAAGGGAGAATTTAGGACTAAAACGAATTAAATTAACTAAAACAAATAAGAATGAATAATTCAAGCTTAAATTCGGATAAGATTTCACCATAAAATTCCATTCCAGAGAGATTTATGAAAGATGTAGTAATTTTCTAAAGATTTAATCTTTAGTTCCATGCCCAAAAGTACAGAACAAGCCCTTGCGCTCCCCTCCTGCGATAACAACAACAACCAAACAATAGAGCAACAATACTCACCTTCTTGTACAACCTTTGGAACCCATCAATAACCCAACGATCGTTGATCTACTCCCCGATACAGCCATACGAGCCGTGGAGCCTCGATATGTTTTGCCAGTTCTGCGGGGGAAATTGACGACGGCGAGTACGCGACACTAAGGGCAGCCACTGCCGGCGCCGTTGTGGGCATCACCATGGGCAGCATGAAGAGTGGTCTGGGACTGGGTGCTGTCGGGGCTGGCACCGGGGCTGGAGGTGGAGGCAGCATTTCGTCATCGGTGGGCGTTAGTCTGCTCCACCTGTCGGAGTATGATGAGCTGCCACCGCCGCCGCCAACCACCAACCAGCACCATCAACAGCAGCAGCAGCAGCGACAACAGCAGCAGCAGCAGCACCACCACCAGCATCCACATCCTCAATTTGCCCATGGACATCCCCACGACTATGCGAACCTCAGCGGACTGGGCGGCATCAGCGACGACAACATCTCGGAGGAGGGCAAACTGTTGGCCTGCGTGCGAGACGATAGTATAACATATGCCTCGACCAGAGATCTTGAGCCGCCACAGCCAGCGGCAGCGGCACAGCCACCCCCACCGCCGCCGCCATTGCCCGTCAAGGGTGCACCCATGCCACAGCCACCGGCAGTGCTGCCCCATGCCCACGCCCACGCCCACGCCCACGCCCATGCCGGGCCGTACGGTCGTGCCCCCCAAGCCATGCCCGAGATAATGCAATTGTCGCCCGAGCACCATCACAAGTCGCATCTACAGCAGCATCTCCAGCAGCCGCTCCAGCCGCAGAAGCCGCCACATCATCCTCTCCAGCAACAGCAGCAGCAGCAGGGAAATCCAACGCATCAGCATCTAGTCAGCCCCTTGGCTCCCGTCACGGTTGCCGTACACACAAATGAGGCGCATGTAAGTGTGAAAGAAGAAGCGAGTGGAATGTGGAGAAATAATTCTTATAAACGATGGGGACAAGACAAATGTCCAAGGTAGGGGCTTCCAACAGCAGAAGAGCTACGAATTTCAGAGGAATAGGTGTTAGCTTAAGGTATTCTTATTGAAAATCCCAATTTAGGGTACAATTTATTAAAGATTTTGTCGATTGATTGATGCTAGTATCAAATTGATTGCCTCAAACGATAGTCCAAACATTCCAAGCACCCTTTTGGATGCCCTCTGCAAGAGGGTATTCCATTTTCGATGTAAAATCCAAGCACAGGATAATTTAATGTTTCGTGTAGGGGAGGCCAGGTCTGGGGACCACAGACGAGACGTGGCGAGGCGAGGCGCTGCGATGCGATGCGTGCCCCATGTTTTGGGGCGTGTACTATGTCACGCCCCTGGTGCAGAGGCAGAGTGCAGGCGAGCGTTGCAGGAGATTTATGTTTGCTGTTATGAGACAGCATAAATCAGTGCCAGGGCCACAGACAGAACAGGGGACATGGATCGGAGTGGGAATAGGGATTGGATAGAAGCCCGAATTAGTCTACGGGCCAGTGCACGGATTGATGGATGGCCCAGACTGCGGAAGGCTCCCGACAACGGACCCTGCCCGACTGACGCCTGATCTGATTTGATTTCATTTTCACTTGCAGACACGGCCCATCTGAAGCCACACCCACACCCCCAACCATCCTCATCAGTCATTACCCGATAGCCGATTCCTTAACCACTTTCACTGATTCCCGACTCTTTCTCTGTCTATCCCGCGTCCATCCAGATTGCCTCCAGTTCCACACCCCGTTGCCTGCGTCGCGCCGACTCGGGCGTACCCAACGAGGCCCTGACGCCACGCAGTGACACCACCTCGATCACGGAGAGCACCACCACCTCGCCGCCAGAGCGCGCCCCCTCCGAGTCCTCGAGCGGCGTGCACTCGGGCGAGGAGCGCGAGCTGGAAGTTATCATCAGGCCACGGACCAGCTGCAAGCCGCCGCCGCGTCCACCACAGCCGCCCATCCAGGAGGAGCCCTACGGCCGCTGCACCAACATGCGCATGTCCAGCTTCAATGCCGATCCTGCGGCCTCTCTCACCTCCTCCGCCGGAATGAACAGTGCCACCCTGCCGATGCAGCGCACCGCACCGGAGCAGAAGTTCGACTACACGGCCCACTGCAGCACGATGCCGTTGCCGGTGGGCTGCCACAGCCAGCAGCTTGCCGGCAACGCTGGCAACGGCGGCTATGCCTCCACCTCGGCCATGACCACCTCGATGGGTGGTGGGGCCATACCGCCGCCTCCCTCGCAGGTCACCAGCTTCAAGACGTCCGGCATTGGGATGCACTATGCCAACGCTGCAGTGGCCCTGGGCAACGGTCAGATGCAGGCGCCGCACACCACCCTACCGAACGGCGTCCGCTACTCGAATCCGCATTTCCTGCGCCGCCTGCCGCATGTGACCAAGGCAGCCGAGTCGCCGTACGGCCACTTGGGCTACGGGGCCGGACACCATGCCTTCGCCAAGCTGCCCCACGAGACGCATCCCACCATACCCGAGGACCGCGACTCGGCCAACTATTCGATGGCCTCCGATCAGGACTGCGGACTGTATGTGACGGCCCAGCTGCATTAGGCTTCAAGCTCAAGCTCAAGCTCATCCAACTATTTACTCAGTTTTTCGTAGTACTGTAGTACTGTAGCACCCTAATCGTATCCGTAACCCCGTACTCTTCTAAGTTAGCCTCTCGGTTTTTGTACAGCTCCGTGCCCAAGAGAAGCCACACCACTAATCCACTAATCTTCCAAAAACAATGCACTCGAGATCGGCTGGAGAACGAGTCCCAATTTGGGTATACATGAGTGTACGAGTATGTATTCATTAATTTTCGATTGCTTTGCCTAAAACAATGATCGACTACACACCTACACTCAAGCGAGTGCGATTATCAGTATGAATATGAGTATGTTGTAGCACAAACAACCCACACACACACAGACAGACACACACAGTCGTAGCTGATGATGACAAACGCCCACGCAAAGGAAACCTTAAAACTAACTATATCTTCATGCATCTAAATCTACATCCAAATCCAAATCTAAATCTATTTATATTTATATCTACATATATATATATATTTATACATGGCTATGCTCGTATACAATGTGTAAGATAATAAGCTAATCTAATGTGTTTAAGTAATCAATGTAAACTAAAGTTTATCATATCATATATGAATGGAATATCTATAGCTAACTGTAAGAGCCCTCCCCTCCCCAGCCCCCTATACTATCTACGCATTACTCGTAAACAGAAGGAAGAAATATCATAAACTTGATCATGTGCAAGCACTCAAAGTATTTTCCCCTAAGCAATTTTCACTAAACTAATTAACACACACCCGCGCACACTCGGAAGGAACAAAAGGCATACGAATTTAAGCAGCGATTGTATGGTTTTTATTGTAAGAATTAGTAATTGTAAAATGGTAACCAATTTAATGGCACTTAATAGCCGAAAACCATATGCTTCAGCTAGTCGGATATAGAGGATATAGACACCCCAGCAAGGCTTCTGCATACATACACCTATGTACGAGTATTTTCTATGGTCTCGCAGCGCTTAACGTTTAAGATGGATGTAAAATGTAATGTAACAAAGCGACAATATGAATACTATTATTTAATGTATGATACAAATGATATATGTACTATCCACGTCCCCCCCCGCATACATATCTCCACATAAACACACACTTAAGACTTTCCACTTTGGACTCCTGCACATTGCTTCAAAATGTCGTTTAGCCGCCGCATAGATTTTTTTATTTCTTGTCCATTTTCGATTGGCGATTGGTCTACTTTCACATTTTAAGGATTAGCGATAGCAGAACAATCATCCTATTTGGTTATCCTTGAACAGAGCTCGAGAACGATTGATCTTATAGAAAGTATGGCATATTTCAGGCTTCGCTGAGAATATAATGATCGAAATTTATGAAGTATCTTTTGTGTTTGGCTTTATTTATAAATTATGGCATCCTTCCAGGCTGTTTGGGGATATCGATGTCCTTTTTGCAGGTGCCAAAAGATTAGCAGGACCCTTCCTATCTCGAAAGGCCATTCCACGTCCAGATCGGCCGTGCTATAGCCGAGATATAGCGTAAAGAATCGATTAGTTAAATATCCTTGATAAAAATTCATCAAGGACTTTTTTTTGATCATTGTTAGCTATGGTATAACCACTAATAGCGTAGAAACAAAATATTCTTTGTTTGAGAAAATGTCCTTGATCCTTGAAAAGAACTTCATGAAATCAGGGACAGTTTTGTGATGATAGGAAGCCATCGCACGCCTAGATCGGGCCACAAATAGCCGAGAAAGCTGAATTTCTGTGGCTGGGGATGTTGGAGTCCTTGTGCAAGGATCAGGAATATTTTTCCGATCACAGGAAGCCATGGCACAACCTGATCGGCCTGCAAATAACCGAGAAAATAAAGTATGCCTAAGACTAGAGAAGATATCCTTTATCATTTATCCTTGATCCTTGGTAAGCACTCATTCAAATCAAGGATTTTATTCCGATTCCAAGAAGCCGTCGCACGCCCAGATCGGTTCACAAAAAACGGAGAAAACAACAAAAAATATCCGCCACCAGCGAAAATGTAGTTCAAAAAATCCCCGGCGACAAATGGGGGCGCCACTGCATAACAAAAAAAAAACAGCGACCTTCTGCTAATTTCTGTTCGCTTGGTATCCCAGATCTGAAATCGAAAAATCTCGGTTTTGCGAGCAAATTGAAAAAGGTTGAAAGTGGTTGAAAGTACTTGAAAGTGGCTGATAGTAAATTCAGCCGCTCAAATCAGAAATTTCGGTCTGGGATACAAGGCAAACATAAATCAGCAGAAGGTCGCTGGGTTTTAGCCCCCAAAAGTATGCTACAAGATCTGAAATCGAAAAATTTTGGTTTTGCGAGCAAATTGAAAGAGGTTGAAAGTGGTTGAAAGTAATTTATTGTTTATGTCATAACTCCGCTATTTCTTGTCCGATCGGCACATGCTGATGGAGTCCTTACCAAGTATCAAGGATAAAGGATAAAGGAAATTTTCTCTAATCATAAGCATCCTTTATTTTCTTCGGTATTTGAAGGCCGATCAAGTTGTGTCATGGCTTCCTGTGATCGGAAAACTATTCTTGATCCTTGGACAAGGATTCCAACATCGCCAGCCAAACAAATTCAGTTTTCTCGGCTATTTGTGGCCCGATCCAGGCGAGCGATGGCTTCCTACGATCGCAAAAATGTCCCCGATTTGATGAAGTCCTTTGCAAGGATCAAGGATATTTTCCCCAGTCTTACATATTTAGACTTCTCTGATTTCAGGGGTCCGAGGGGTTCCTGAGATCAAGGTAACATCGCCGATAGAGTCCTTGACAAGGATTAAGGGTATTTTTCCCAGTCCTACATACTTACTTTTCTCTGCCATTTATGATCCAATCTGGGCTTGCCCAGGCTTCTCGAGATCGCGAAAATACCTCCCAGCGTTTGCAGGGCAATAAGGATATTGCCTTTTTAACGTTATTTTAATAATTAAATCGCTATAGCTCCACTATTTCTCTACCGATTTGGGCATGCCACACCTTATTGTAATCGGGAGATTATTCCCAATCGCTTGGCATCAAGGACAATAAGGATATTGCCTTTTGAACGTTTAATCGCTATAACTCCGCCATTTCTCCTCATATCGAGACCATTCTGCTTGGTCCGCATGTTTTCGAGCAGATATACAAACATCCGATGTCCTTTGTCCTGACCAAGGACCTTTACTCGGCACCTTTGATCAACTACTTTCTTTTTGGCATTCAAACTTCGAGTGGTTATTAGTATAACGACATTCCTGGAAATCTTTTCAGGGAGGAGAGCTCGATTGTTCACAATTGTTAGAAAACAAGCGCGCACCATCGCTGTGGAGGATTCGAAAGACCAATCGTATTTATTTTCGTTATAAAGACTGATTAGTGTTATAAAACAATTTGAAATGCACTTACATACACCAGAACCTATACAAGAGACCCCCGAAAAAACTCTTTAGAAATCCTATGCATTGATACGATAGAGGATAGGCCGTAAAGATAGTTTAGTATGTCGTCTTTAACTTTGGTTCCTTTGAGAAACGCACTAAAATAAACGGGTTATCAACGTTTAAGCAAATGAGAAACTTTTGTAACATAATTTCATAATTCAATTAAAAATTAATTCAAATGAAATACCCAAATAAAAGTCAAAGTAAAAGTAAAAGTACTAAGTATGCCTACAGAAAAATTACACCAATTTAATTATTGCGTATATCATGGGTTAGATTTTTTGTATAAGCGAGCGAAACTTGTAAATGATAGTAAGGTTAAACCCAATCCAATACCCGTTATGGCACGGATAAACGCATCTAAATATATTTAATATGGTAAATCAATAAATGCATAAATGTTTAAATTATTTATACATTCTATACGTATATGGATTAAATGGTTTATCAATGGTAAATAAAGAAATACCACCGCTTTATGTGAAACCCCAAAAATCTTTGAGTTTTCCTGGGCGGAATGGGGGGTCCTGGGGAAATCAAAGGCCATTTTCTGCTTTATTAGAAAACAATTTTTAATGAATTTTCCTTTGTTTTGTTATTTAAATGTTGCTTTTCATTAAAGTTTCTCTTTAGTTTTTAGTTTTACACAATTCAAGTTTCTGTGTTCTTCAATATTAATAATGCCTTCTCTGCAAATCTTGTTAATAATATAATTTTAGTTTTTGTTTTTGTTTTGCTTTTGGTTTTGTTTTTGTTTTTTACATATTCTTTTCACAGTTTATTGTCGTTTCTCGACCTTCGATTGTTGTCGAGATATTAAAATACAATACAAGGTATCCAGAGCGCCCAGCGAGCGCTGGCCCCTGCCTCTTAATCAATTTTGTGTTCAACATTCGCAATAAATGATATATTCTTCTGTTGTTCTTGTGGTTGTTGTGTAGATAGCATTTTTGTTTTGTTTTTGTTTTTGTTTCTTGTTTCTTGGTTTTCGGCTGCCCTTGAAATAACTTGCCGTAATATATCATTTGTTTCTGTAACATTTTCTATATGCTTTGTCATTTGTGTGACTTAAATGTAACGAATTCTAGAGGAATTCTAATAAGAATCATCTTCTATGTCTCAACGGTGGAAATGCCCTTTCCGAAACTGTACTCGTTTCGCAGGAGGCGTCAAGTAATTCCATTCCAATGGTATGTAAACGGAAAGAGCACTTCAACTTCGGCCCTTGCCGCCGTTTGTTTCACATCCTGTCCATATTCTTTGCTGGTTTGCTGATTAATTAAAGCATTTTCGAATGTTTGCTGACGGAGAGCAGTGGAAACAATACAAAGATAGAGATAGAGAGAGAGAGAGTTTTATCATAGAAAAGTTCGTATGAAGTTCGTGGCTATCGGAGTGGAGTGTACAAATCGGATTAACTATCTATAATGTCTGTATGCTTTTATGTTGTATGTATCTCTGATTTATATATCGTATAATTAGTTGCTGGAAACCTCGCTGGTAGTTTTTTCTTTTCTCAAATATTTGAAGCGCCTTTTCTTCATCCTCATATCCTGACTTTTCTTCTAATGTGTGTTCTTGTTGTTGTGCTTTTCTTGTGGCAACATTTTGAATGCATTCTGCCTGTCGTGATTTGGCAATTCTTTACGTATCTCTGTAGTGGTCGTAGTTCTGATATAGGAAGCTGCAGCTTGGATGGATATGCACCTGTCAATATATATTTAACTTTATCTTGCGTTGTTGTGTGTTGAAAGCTGAATGAATGGACGGAAAGGTTCAAATCAATATCCGTAGCCATGAGTGAAAGCAAAATGAACTAACATTAAATAACTGGATAGGAACAATAGCTACGTTTCTCGTATATATCTGAATGTACATATTTCATTGCCCTATAGTCCTAATACGAGTATACTATTTATAAAAGTTAACTGCTCCCATCCATCACTGTATCTGTCTGTCCGACTGTCTGTCCCAGGCCTGTGATATGTTTCCTTAAAGTGAACCAATTGGGGAGTCCTCCTCCCTTCGGGAATGCATTGCAAAATGTTGCCCAAAAGAACGCCAATAGAATGTCTCTCAAACTAAAATGTAATGTCATTTGCAAACTATCTTTGGTTTTCCTCCTCCTTTCAGTTTTCCTATATTTCCATTTATGCTAATGTGTTACGACGCTATGTGTGTTTTAATGTAATGTATGTGTCTTTGGCAAGCAGGTAACGATTTTTACAGCTCACACTATTAACTTGAAGGTACTTGATGCGTTTGTTTTTCGAGGCAAGTTGATTGGAACCGAGCAAACGGCGCAAACGGATTCTATAGCGATTCTCTAGAAGCGTGAGAATGTGAAGCGCGGGTTAGCTACAACAAAATCGCGTTATACGTAGTATATAGTATGTGTCTATATATATAGAGAGATAGAGAGAGATAGAGTGTGTGTTCTCATTGCTCTAGTTTAAATTATATGATACATAGCTGTCGCTGTAGCTGTAGCTGTATACTGTGCCCATCGCTAGCCGGCAAAAACTCGCACATTTTGGGGTTGCTGTGGAGTTTTTGACGGAGCGCAGAGCAAAACAAATTTGTATAAAGCCTAAGATCTGGTAATCGGTAGACGACGACAATCGATAGTCCGGCTGTGGTGTGTGTGTGTGTGTGTGTGTGTGTGTGTGTGTATGTGTGATCCTATTTACAGCTTAAGTTGAGAATTTGTATTAAGTTAAACTTGCTCATCTCGCGCTTGGTAAATATTTGTTGTGGTTGTTGTTCGATTAATACGTACATATCTCATATATCTCTAGAAATAATCTCCCGTTTTGTAGTTACCCAAACCTTAAACCTAAACATTAACTTTAAGTTTAGGTTTAATCGTAAGTTAGGCTTATTTAAGTGTTAGTGGTTCTTTGCTTGCTTAGACTGTAAATATATTTATATATAGATTTATATTAATTTATATATGTATATATACTTAAATAACTGCCATCGCATCATCTGAAAATCTATAACTTTCATGTACAGATTTTCGATTTAGATTTAGCTAATTATTTTATTAAACATTTTATATCCCCTTTCCGCACGCTGCTCAAGCTTAGGCGTTGGCTTAGGCAAGACTGTCAGCACTTGAACTTTCTTCTTTCCTTAGATGTACTTTCTTTCTTTGGTTTTCGGTTATTGGATTTTTTTTCTCCTTCTTCTTCTTTTATCTCGTTTATCAATAATAGTTTTTAGTAATAATAATCGTAGTAATCGTATTACGAAAATAATAGTGATCTTAGGTGTGTAGTAAAAATTAATTTAAATATGCATAATTTACAAGTATCCTTTTGTCAAATGTTATCCATTATATATGTGTATATGTATTGTATGTACTCGTATATATATATATCTATCTTGTATCTGTTTTCGATAGTTACGTTTAATCTGTTTACTGCTCTGCTCTTGTGTTCTCGGTTCTCTCGGTTCGTTAAATGCATTTGTTTTCATGACTTACAAAAATTAGATATTTTCTCTCTTTTTTCATTTTTGTTAATTTTTTTCATTTTCATTACTTTTTGTTGCTGGAAATCTTCCTCTCCTTTCGGTTGTAGAATAGAAAAAATTACGGATCTGGACTTAGCTTAGGCCAGCAACATGCCGAATGGGGATCACAGGCCGGCGGATGCCACGTTGCTTCCGCTTCCGCTGCTGCTGCTGCTGCTGATGCTGCTGCAGGCTGACCTTGGTCCTTTGCTATTTGGCTGCCTGGCTGGCAGCTCTCTGCAAGGGTTACTGTAAGAATTGATGTGAAAATTCGTAAATATATTAGTCACACATGCATTACATAAAGGGAAATGTCTGTTGGCTGTTAATCGTTTTTTTTTTATACGGATTAACTGTGTTTTTTTGATTTTGTTTTCGGTTTTAACCGGGTTATTTCAAATATGTGTATTCTTTTTTTTGGTTTTTGGTTTTGTTGTAAAATGGCAAAGGTGGCAGAATGTGTATTGACTAGCGCGCTAGAGAGAGTAAAAAGCAGGAGACGCCAGTATTGTATTGGGTTTGGATTATTCACTTACTGAATTCAGTTCAGTTTTGAGTTCGCTTTGAATTGGAATTGTGCTTGGGTGCTTAAAGTGTTTTCGTTGTAGTGGTTGTTGTAGTTGTTGTTGTTATTTTTCTTGTTGTTGTTGTTGTTGGTTGTGGTGTTGTTAGTGTTGGAAAGTGTTATTCACCCGGCTCCTCCATTATAACTGATTCACCGGCCCAAACAATCGGACGACCCTGGGTTGTGGTGGTTTCAAAATTGATTTATATTGTAAAACTTTGTTTCTTAGGAGAAGATTAATTGTTAGATAGCGCTAGCCTAAGCGTAAGCTATTTTATAGTATAGATTGTGTATTGTATTTATGCTATTTATCATTAGCCAGGTGTTTGCCATTTTAGAAATGTAAGAGTATTGGAGTAGTATTGTGTGTAGTGTTATTCGTTATTGTGCGTGTGAGCAATATATGATATGCACCACTTGACTGACGATTCAGTTGTGGCTATCAAATGATAATAATCGAGAACTTATTTTTTATATGTATTTTCTTGGTTAATCATCTACGGCATGCACTAGAAAAATGCTTAAAAAAATGTGAGTGAGAATGTGAGTTGGTTTCTACGAGTATTTGATTAGTTTTTGGTTTTTGGTTGGGTAGTTCGGGGATAGAGAAACATACCTATATGAGTATTGAACGAGTCTATGTGAAAGCTACGTTGTAGTAACGGTAGATTTATGGTGACTTAGCGAGAGAGGATATATATTCATTTTTGTTTTCGATTTTGATTTGGTTGCGATTACGATCAACCTTTTTGTGGTTCATTTGACTTTTCATCATACAATGTCAATAGCTGTTGTTGTTGTTGTTGTTTTGGTGGTTGTTGGCCTCATGGTTGTGGTGGTTGTGGGTGTTTCGGTGTCTGTGTGTGTGAATATAACAAGCGTTTCATTTACAGGAGTGCGTGTGTCTGTGTCATTATTTTATATGTAAATAATTCTAGCTAAAAACAAATGCATTTGAGATGTTCACTATTTTATCAATATTATTTTAGGTTTTTGTTTTTTTTTTTGTTTGTTTTTGGTCGCTTTGTTAAGCGTATCGAACCAATCATCAAATTACAAATTGTTTACTTTAGTTGCTGGTTGGTTAATGGTCAATTCTTTTACTTGGTTTGCACATTACGGTCAATACGGAACTAAATGTCGAGACATACGTATGCAAATGTATATTTTAATTATATATATTGTGTGATTGTGTGTGTGTCTGGGTTTATACATAAATATATAGATAGTGCAAGTGTTTTTTAGCCACTTGCTAGTGCCAGTTCTAGCTAAGTTTCAATTTGTATTTGTACGTTTCGAATTTAGTTCGCAGATGTATCGCTAAATCCTAGAGTTTGAGTGAATCGAGTGATGCTAACGATGAGCGCCTAGAGCCTAAACCTATAGAAGAGCAACTGACCAGTGAGGTGGTGCCAAAGAGCTTATACCAGCCGATCACGATATTTGACAGATTCAGATCGTCGAGCATTATCTGAGCGACGCCCATAAACACTTTCTTCTCGATGCGCCCGTAGTCGCCCCAAACGGTTATCTGTAAGAGAGGTCAAACGATTAGTTAGATGTCAATTGATTGGAATATAAATTTCAAAGAGTCTCGCCTGGAGTATGCAACCAGCGTAGGAGTGCTTGAACACCAACTGCTGCTGGTAGAGCGGGTCCAGGGTGCGACGCGCCGTCGAAGTCTTCATCTTGTCCACGCAGTTCTTTCCCGACACCAGATACACCTTCACATATGGAGCGGGCAGCATCTTCGATGAGGGTTTTTGCTACAGAGAGATTATCATTTATTGTGGGTGCTTTTTTCATTGAGATGAATATGCAGAACGTACCGTCAACCCTCTGGCTCGAATGACCTCCACCTCTAGAAAGCCCTTCTGATGGCACATCGACAGCTGGATGTCGCCCAGTGAGGGAGCACCAAGCACCTGGCGACCCACCAGTTGTCCTGGTCCCAGGCCCTCGACAAACTCATTGAGGGCTCCATCATTGCGCAACGAGGGAGAGAATCTGTATGTTTCATTGGGGATATGACGCAGGATGGGAGTTGTGTAAAGAGTATAGTATTAGTATAGTCTCTTGATAGCGATTTCTTTTGGCTTTAATTTTAAGATCATTTAAATAAGAGAGATCATAAGAATTCACAACAAATTTTTCAAGAAAAAGAAATAACTCTTATACACAGGGAGTTGTAGAAAGACAGTTAAATGTAGTTGTAGTTTGTTGGTGGTTGGTAGTTGGTGATTGGTGGTTTGGTGGTTGCGACTGCGTCTGTTGTGGTCCGAAATGGTTGAGTGTTGGGTGGTTGGGTGACAGGTGGTTGTGGCAGTGCAAAAGGAGAGAGACAGAGAAAGACAGACAAGTAGAGGAGTCACAGATCGCAATACGATGGTGTCATGCAAGCGTTCGGAGCGTTCTCAGGAGCAAAAGTGCAGAGAAGCTACTTGAACTAGCTGGGGATCGGAGTCGTTTATATGATCAGTCTATATCCCAAGAGATGGTAGACTTATTGGTCTATTCTTTGGATGGTAGGGGAGGGAGGGGTGGGCAAGTACCCTATAAAGAGCCACAGTGCTGGAAAGGTCTAGGTGCCTAGGTCTAGGTCGTACTCTAAGTACTCGACAGTTGTCTTATTTACGAACGCACATCGAGAGGTGAGAATAACTTTCTTATATACATATACATATATGTAGATATTGCTGGAAATCAAAAGGATTAAATCAAGACTGAAATCAATACAAATTGTACTTTTTCACGTGGTTACAGAAAAATACACAAAGAAGTGGTAGAATCGAAACGAAACAGAAGGAAACGGAAGGAAAATTACGTGGAAAACATTTAAGAGAAAATATATTTGAGGTATACAGAAATGCAGGCTCGCTCTCAACGGTTTCAAGGCTCACATAGACAACAATTAAGATGACGGCAAAGAAAGGACACAAAGAGTTATAGGAAAAGAGAGAGACATAGAGGAAGAGAGAGATATAGACAGCGTGTAAGAGTTAGAGTAAAATTATAGTTAGGAACGCGACATAGATTACCATATACAAAAGCCAATCGAAAATAGATTTTTATTTAAAAGTTGGACAGTGTAAAGGAGAGTCACACAGAAAGAGAGAAGAGGCACAGGCAAAGTTGAGAGAGAGAGAGAGATGGAGAGGAGAGTTTTCAATTTCATAATAGATATTTTTTGTTGATGGAATTTTAATTTAATTGCTATTGCTATCGTTATCGTTATCGCTAACGGCAGATTGCCGAACGATCGAACGGGGTAAACTTACGATGAACCCTCGGAGCTAGAGATCGAGTGTATACTGCCGGCACTGTAACGGGTCACCGATAGCACCGGCGGCACCTCCACCGATCGCTGGATGCTGCCCGCCGAGCCGCGCGACTGCCGTTGGTAATATGGATGTGGTGGTGGTAGTGTGATATGATGGTGGTGACTAGCGGAGCTAGTCGAGCTGCCTGAATACTGTGCCTGATACTGCTCTTGTTCTGTCGGAAACAACGATATTTATACATATTGATTGAATATCTATATATATATTGGTATATATTGATATATACTACTCGTATGTGGCATGTGGTGGCATATGGTACAGATACATATATATATATACAAAAAGGGTGTGTTACGTTATCGTTATCGTATCGTTATCGAAAATCAAAAGCGAAAAAACAGCAACAATGCAGAGTGAAATGAGATTGCGACGCTGGACCAGTAGGTCACTGCCTATGGAACTATCATCGACGTTGGGCTCTTGGAAAACGGAACCTAATCTATATCGAAATCGTTATCGTTATCGTAATCGTAATCGTAATCGAAGCTGGCAGCACCCGAAGAAGTAGCGAAAAAAACTGTACAGAAATCAAAGCCACAGAGAAGAGTCGTAAACGTAAATTGTACAACAAACAAAATAGTAAAAATTATAATGCGAGAACACCAACTGAATATCGATAAGAACATAGAACATTATAGACTAATTATACACATTATCCTATATGTATATATATATTTATGTATTGGCGAAATCATCAAAAATCAGTGGCGCAACTTAAAACATTTACTCATTTGGCAATTCAATGGCTACTAATTTTGCAGGGTGATTATTTTTGATTGCAATTGAAAGAACTGGCATCGATTCCCACATTGGACCTCCGCCAGGTGGACTCCACTAGACAGTTGTACATACATACATATGTGTTCTTCTAGTTGTTTTTTAGAGTATTATTATATATCTGTTGTTGATGCACTTTCTAGTATCGCTTGTTCGAATGCTTGTTGAATGCGAATTTGGTTGCTGTATTTGGTTTGGCCAATTCTCAGATGATTCTTTTTTTGGTGGATGCTGCATTAGTATTTGTTGTTGTAGTTGTGGTTCTTGTTCTTGTTGTTGTGAGCTTTTAATGTGTATTGGTTGTTGTTTTGTTGAATGGCATGGCTGTTGACTTTCTGTGACAGAGCTCCCTGTATATATGTTTTTTTTTAAATAGATAAATATCCAAATTGATTTCGCAAAACATAATGAAACTGAAGAAAAATCTTGTAGGAAACAGATGATAAACATTAGTTCGTTGATCAAGATCCTCGGGCATGCCGACACCGATCTGTTCAGTGTTGGTTAATGTTGGACAATGTTGGGCAAATGTGTATGGTGTGTGGTGTGTGGGGACGGGGACCCTTACGAGTACATATTTCTTCTCCGGCGAGTATGAATAATGTTTTGGATAGACTCTTACCGCACACGACACGACACAAGCTACATAGTAAATGGGAATTGATTGGATCGTATCTTTAAGCTTAAGCTAAAGCTTTACGAGTAGTTATATTATCATTATGCAATACAGAGATACAGAGATAAGGAGGCTGCAAGAGATTGGTAGTAGCTGGTATGTCGACTACGAGTGGGGCTGGTAATGAGTATATAAGGCATAGGTATGGATATAGGTATTGGTATTGGTATAACTCAATGCATGCAAATCGAACAGAACTCTAGAATAAAATGTTGGATATGTGTTGGATATAGAAATCAATATATAGAAATAGTATTATCGATAAATGGCATTAACAATTGTAACGGGGGTTAGTTAGTAATTAAGTATTATTCTTGATAAACAAATCTCGCTACGAAATGAAAATGGAAATGCACACACACACACCCTGATAAACCGCCCCCACATACAGTGAGCGTGAAGAGTGTGTTGCCGCACAGCCAAAAGCTTTGCGTTGTGCCGCATTTGCCCAACAGTAACTGCGGCCAGGCAAAGCTTTTGGTGTGCCTCGCATCATCGCCTTGGGAATTCAATCGAGTATTCCCTGTTAAGCCTAAAAATACGTATCGACTTTGGATTGTTTGTTGGTTTTTTTTGGTTTTTGGTTGGGTTTGTTCTGGTTTTTTGGTTTTTAGTTTTGTTTTTTGGTTGTGCTTGCTGCGCCAGCGTTTCAAGGTGGAACGGAAATCATAAATCAAGTAAATCATCACGAGGAGAGGCTGGCTGGGTACAGTTACAGGTACAGTTTGTCATGCCTGCAGAGCGTCAGAGCGAGAGCGAGAGCTTTTGCTTTTGGTTGAATTCAAGCTTTTTGCAGAAAAGCATTTAAGAGCGAAAGAGCGAGAGACACGGAAAAAGAGAGAATGAAAAGCTCTTACAGCTACGAGTAGAAGGACATGACATCCTGTGTGCTTAAGGGGATGTTTTTTTTGTTGTTTTTTTGTTGGATTGGAGGCTTACTTGGAGAGTGTTTCTTGTTTTTACTGTTACTGGTTTTTGTTACAGGTACTGTTACTGTTAATAGTACTGTTACTGTTACTGTTTCTGGGCTAACTAATGTTTATCATCTTTTAATCGTTAGTTTTTAGTTGTTCATTGATTTTCCTTCCATTTTCTTGTTCTTCTTTTCCTCTTTACAAAAAAAGGCAACTCAAAACCATAAGAAAGTCACCAAAAATTAAAAGTGAACCGAAAATAGAACTGATAGTTGTATAGTAGTATAGAATCAGAAAGAGTTAGAAGGTAGATAGAGTAGAGATAGAGTAAATTGGACTTGTGCGCACCTTTCCCCACCGGCGCCATCGCCGAAAAACTGCTCAATGGGGTCCGCCTCCGAGGACGAGCCACGCGAGAGGCCACCGCCAACGCCTCCGGCCGTACCGCTGGCACCACCAGCGGCACCACCGACGCCAACGCCACCGCCACCGCGCAGCTCGCGCGTGATATCACCGGGCAGCACCTCTTCGCTGCGATGCACCGTGAACGAGTTCTTACCCTTCTTTCCAAAGCCCATACGTCTTTTACGACCTTCGAGTACGGCATATACATACATATATTTCATATGTTATTTAATTGTTTTTTGTTTTTCAGTATTTTTTAGTAGTTACGATATTGGTTAGTATAGCAATGGGTTAGCTTCAATGGTTATATATGTTTATACGGTTAGTAAGGAAAGCAAAAAGACAAATAAATGGATCTAAGAATGTGTGTAAAACCAAAGATACGGCGATGGAATGCAGCATCAGCCGGATACAAACTCCGGTTTGAGCCTACAATGCATTGACTACCGAATAACTGATTGATTGACTGACTGACTGTCTGACAGATTGATTGTCTGTCTGATTGTCTGAATATCGATTACGAAACACAAGGCAACAGAACGAGAGAACTGTAAACGAGCGCAAACACGAAAAAATGGATTCAAAATTGTCCTACCTGTTGCGGACAGCTGGGAGGTGGAATTGGATTTCTTGCCCATGCCGCTGCCGCCCTTTGGCGAGCGTTCCTGGTCCACGGTGCCGCCTTTCTTCCGATCATTAGCGGTATCCGATTGGCTTCCATCTGCAGAGAGAGAAATGGCCCATTAGCTATGGGATATTTCATTTCTTAGAATGGTTAAAAAATTCTACCAGCTTTATCTTCTCCCCCGGTGCCACCTTCTGTGGATTTGGCACCGCCCTCAGGGCCGTTCTTGTCCTTGTCGTACTCGCTGAAGTCGTCATCCAACATGGCATCGATAGCATCCCAGTCGATGGCATCGAGCGGAGCATCCGCGTCCGCATCCGCATCGGCATTTGCGTTCGTTGTTGTTGCGTTTGTATCGTTCGTATTATTTGTATTTGTATTCGTTGTTGGATTTGTGGCAGTTGTTGTAGCATTTGTTGCAGTTGTTGTTGTTGAAGTTGTTGTCGTTGTCGTCGTTGTTGTCGCCGCATTCGTTGCATTCGACGATGTGTTTGTTGTTGTTGTTGAAGTTGTGATTGTTGTTGTTGTATTGTTGATGAGATTTGTGCATGTATTTTGTTGTTGTTGTTGTGTGGGATTTGTTGCGTCATGAGTCAAGTTGTTAACGTCATTCGTTGTTGTGTTCATTGGTGTTGTTGAATTGGTGTTTTGTTGTTGTTGGTGTGGTGTTGTTGATGATGATTGGGCACGGTTGTTGTTGTTGTTGTTATTGTTCATGTAATTGTTATAGTTGTTAATGTTGGTGTTCGTATTGGTGTTGGTGTTGGGTGATGCATTTGTTGTAATTGGTTGATTGGCGACACCATGATGTTGTTGTGGGGGATTTGCAAAAGAGGAAGAAGAAGCATTATTAGCATTATTACCACCGAGGACGACATTGCCAGCAGCGGCGGCAGCAGATGTTGCACCACCGCTCCCACTACTAGATTTCGTCTGTTGCTCCGATGATGCCATCGTTCCGCCGATAGCGTTGATGCCTTCTTTCCCTTTTTTGTTGTGACTTTGACTAACACTAACACTACTCGCTTGTTGTTGTTGGCTATTGTGGTGGTTGGTGATTGTGGTGTGATTCTGGTGGTGTGATTGGTTGAGTGTGGTACTGTTACTGTAACTGTTAATATTGTTGGTGTTGTGTGGACCACCGCCCCCGCCCCCGCTACCGTTTCCGACTCCGATTCCGATGTTACCGCTGCCCCGCTGCTCGCCACCATGCTGCGGCAGTGTATAGTCCATCCCCGTCGATCCACCGTCCCGTGCCTCCATGGGCGAGAAGTTGTGCGCATTCTGTGCACTAGGCGGATGTGGCAAATTCCGCCGACGCTTCAGATACGGCGCTGCCGGGCCGTAGAGCTTCTGCTGATTGGTCCGCTGCAGATCCAGCGACATGGCTCCTCTCTGCTGCCGGTGCGGCCCGCGAAAGAGTGATGGGGCAACGCCGCGCCGGGTCCAGCCCACGTCCGAGTCGTAGGTGATGGTCACGATCTTGTCGTCGGTGACGAGGAAATGCGAGTGACTCAGCGGATTGTGGACATCCACATTGGCGCCCATGTACGACTGCCGGATGTTCGTCTCGGACCCGTAGCGCCGCGACATGGGCAGCTGTCCCTCCGCCGGAGACGACGAGGAATGGGGATAGGGGTAGGAATGGGGATAGGGATAGGCGGCCGCCTCGTGTTGGGCCACCTCATCCTCGTAGCGAATGCGCCGGCGGCCCCAGCTCTTGTTGTGCAGGTCGTCGTAGTCCAGGGACCGCGACTGGCCCTCGTGGAACATGCGCCGGCGCTCGAGCTTAGGCTTTTTCAGGATCGAGGTGGGCTGTGCCTTGGCCGTCGACTCAGAGATGGGCATGGAGGAGACCAGGGCGTCCTCGCTCAGCTGGCGCGACAGACGCAGCACGGACTGGGTGGGCAGCGACGGAGGCGCCGCCAGCTGCGCCTTGGCCCGCCGATGGGCGGTCGGGGTGGGCGTGTGCACGTGATAGGTGGGCACGGCGCCGAGGTTCACCTGGGGGCCGGTGAGGCCGCCCAGGAAGTGCTGGTCGACGCACTCGCCGCACATTGCCGGGTCCATGGTGGGCAGCGAGGGCTCCGAGCTGCTCGGCTGGTACATGGAGGCGGAGAGCGAGGGGCGGCGAAGCAGTTGCTCCGCACTGTACGGGTACGCGATCGGTTGGTGCTGCGGATGCGGATGCGCGTCCACCACGCAGCAAGGATCCGTACAGGCTCCGATTGTCAGTCCGGGCATTGCCAGGGCCGTATTCGTGGAGAGCACCACCGGCTGGCTGCCGTTCTGGCAGTGGCTGCAGCTCTTGTCCAGATGGTCCCGCACATAGCCCACGTACGAGCTGGGCGAGGAGGATACCGTGTGGGCGTGGTCATGGGCGTGGGCGTGGACATTGGGAATGGGCGAGGAGCTGCGGAAGAGATTCATGACGGGCGTGGTAATGCGCTTGAATTGCTCAAAGCTGGGCAGCGGCAGCGGCAGCGGATAGGCATGAGCAAAGGCTGTGGCGGAGGGGGAGGCGGTTGGTGTCTGTCCGTTGGGCCGTCGTTGAAACATGTCGTTGGGCGTCAGAAATGACGGGTGGTTGGTGGACAAATGAGGCGAATAGTAGACAGAATGCGGATGCAGATGCACATGAGGATCGAGTGGTTCGAGTGGATCGAGCGGATCGATGACCGATGACTCCTCAGCGGCTGTCGCAGGCTCCACAAAGAACTGCTCCACCAGTTCGCCGCTATTCGCGTCTGTCACCAGGACACGTTGCGGTGCTCCCATCCCCATCCCACATCCCATTCCAACTCCGTGGCCGAGTCCCGCCGAAATGGGTGGGGAATCGGCGGCCGCCATGGCCGCCAAATGTTGCAGTTGCTCGAGCTGCTCCAGCAGCAGGAGCTGCTGTTGTGTGCCGCCACCTGCCATGTGCGACAGATAGTCGCAGTCGTCCACCTCGATGGTGTTGGCACGTTGGCTGGCTGCATCCAAGGGATGCATCATCCGGAGTCCAGTTACGGGGCCAGCAGTGCCTGTGGCACCTCCCAAGAAGCTGTTGCGTACGCCAAAGAGATTGCGCCAGTTGCGGGGGAAGCTATCGGTTATTTATCGTGTAACGGTAACGGGTGGTATCGGTAACGGGTGGTGTTTTTATCGGGTGTGGTTTATATCGGGGTGGTGTCATGCAAAGAGTGTTTTACATTTCATTTTGCCATTTGAAATGACCAAATGGTGAGTGGGGGTAGGTGGTGGTTAGTGGGTGGAATACAGCACTCGGCGTGTGGTGGATAACATTGGTTGGTGGTGGGTTCGATGGAATGTTTTATTTGTTGTTATTTGATGATCAAATTACATGGAATACAATTGGAACGATCGACGTCCGTGGTCAGAGTGTGTTATGTGGTGTGTGAGTGTGTGTGTGGTGTATTTTGTGGTGTTTTGTGGTGAGTGTTGGTGAGTGGTTGGTGGCGTGTATAAGCGTGTGTTGAGAAGCATTTCAAACACAAAAGAGAGTGGCGAGAGCGCGCGAGAGAGAGCGGCGAGAGCGTTGAGAACGAGTTGCATTTTATTCGATATTTTTTTTGGATTTGTCGGTTTGGTTTTTTTTTTTTTTTTGGTAAACGCAAAAAGTAAATGCAGAAAAGAAACTTTATGTTTTTTTTGTTGCCTTGCTTTTGTTTCAGTGTTTTTCAGTTTTGTTTGTTGTTTTTGTGTATCTGTGTGGTTTTTGTGTGTCTACAGATTCGAAATCGGTTTCGGGCGGTAAGCGCGCTGTTTCTAATCGACTAATTCAGAGCCTAATTGAGGGGAAATTTTGGATTTTGCATGTAGCTTCTTCTACTCCACAAAATGAATAAACAGAAACAGAGAGAATCGGCCAATTCGTGGATGTGTGGCCCGGAGCGGAATTTCAGCATAATTTTGGCAGCGTTGCTTAGGCTTGGCTTAAGCTGTTTTTTTTTATTGTTTGTTGGCTACAACGACGCGGACGCTATGCTGGTGCCACTCACCTGAGTCCCCGCGAGGTGCGCGGCCGCTCCGACTGCGTGGAGAAGGCGCTGGACGTCACACTGACCACCGACTCCATATCGGAGTCACCGAACTCGCCCATAAAGTCCTTGTCCGGCGACAGCGAGTGCCGCGGCCGCATCCTCGCGTCCATGGAGTGCAGGTCGCTGTCGGACAGCCCTGTGTAGTGGCGCTCCCAGCCGCCCATCCCGGTGCTCCGGTAGGTGGCCTGATGATGCGGCTGTCGTGTACGATGCCTCCCAAAGCGGCTGCCCGAGGCCAGACGCTCGTCAAAGTCCTGGCCGAGCCTGTCCCGCAGCATGGCGCTACGCGATGTCTGAGGCACCTAAAGGGAAAGTCGATATTCAGATGAGGAATTCGATAAAAGCGCATGTGTGTCTGGTGGTCTTACCTGTGGCAGTTGCCTCTTCTTTGGCGATCCTGTGGGCGTGGCTGTGGCCGAGCGCGACTGGAATCTCTGCTGCTGTGTGGCCGATGTGGCTGCAACGCCCGAACTCGGACCCGAACCCGGATAGATGGAGGGCGCGTTGGGTGAGCCGTGTACTGGAAGCACTGGATAGTCTATGTACCGATCGTCCGGTGGCGACAGTGAGCCTCTGCGTGGACTGGTGCTCCTATAGCCGTAGCCTGGACCACCCGAGGGAACTCCTCCCACTCCGCCGCCGCCTCCGCTGTGGTAGCTGTCGTTGGGTGCCGCCGAATGACTGCGATGACTGAGGCTCATGCCACCGGGTCCAATGCAGGAACCGCCGACACCATTACCTCCGCCGACTCCAACGCCGCCGCCGCCGCGTCGATAATAGCCCGTGGCAGATGCCTAGAGTCAAGTAGAGTCAAGTTTAGTGCGGCTCCAATGAAGGTAGCCCCCAGAAAGAATGCCATGCCCCCAAAGGGACACATCATATCATATCATATCCCTGCCACGATTCCCCTTACATACTAGGCATGTGAGTGGTTCGGTGGTGGAGTGGTTTAGTGGGGTGTCCGAGTGGTATACAGTGTATGGTGGATAGTGTATTTGTTGGTTACTGCAACTTCTACTGGAACATTGATATTGGATATACATAATGGATATACGTAGATACTGAATTACGATTAGAGAGCGATAGAGAGATAGGCACAAAAGTTGATCAATCAAAATACATTGAGAGAGAAAGAAGCCGCACCTCTTCAATCTTCAACAATAGAATGGCTGATCTGATTGATGAAGGTGCAGAATGGTTGTTAGATATTTGATTAGTTGGTTGATTAGTAAATTAGTTTCGAGTTAAAGATTAGCAAAAGTTCGTTATTGAAAAGTGCAGCTATTGTTGACGGTGTGGTTCTGGCTCTATAGATAGCTACTACTGTTATATAGATATATATGTTTGATGATTCGACTGATCTGATCTGATCTGATCTGTTCTATTCTGATCGCTTGGTGTGCAGCGTAGGGTATGCGCTGTGAATCCTCTTCTAGCTTGAAGTGTTTTGTTGTCTGTTCTGTTTTCTGTGGTTTTTCGTTAATTTAGCTTAGGAGGTGCAAACCTGATTATGATAACTTTGTCCAATGCCAGATACAGTGCGATAATCACGGGCCACCATTCCGGCCACCCGTTTGCGGCCCTGCGGTGACATGTCGCGTCTGGATCGACGCTCGTTTAGATCGAGCTGGATCGGATCATGGTTGAACGGATACGGAAACGGATACGGAAACGGATACGGATGGGTTTGGATGGGGACGAAAGGTTGTAGTTCGGGTGATTGGTTGGGTTATGGGTTATCGTGAGATATATAGAGAGATCGAGAGAGAAAAAAGAAGGAGTAGAATAATAAAGAAATTTACATATGGATCAAAATGGAATAGCAATGGTATCCGTGTGGGGTATACATATATGTGTGTGTGTGTGAGTGGCAGGACCATATATTACATTGTGTTTGTGTGGGTGTCATCTGGGAGTGTGTCTCTGGGTTTAATCTCTGGTGGTTTTTGCTGGATCAAATCAACACATATCAACGCTACACACTTAAAGCTACAAAAGGTGAAAGCCACAAGGAAGGCCATAAGGAAATACTCGTATGTGGGTTTGTTTTCGATTGGGTGACAAGTGATGGATAGGCAAAAGCGGTACTCTACATGGGCATGCAATAGCGGCAGTTTGGAGTTCGATTGGAGAAATAGTATATAGAGTCTTTATAGAGAGAGAGAGAGAGATATCGCTCTGGGCAGTATGTGTTCTCAAGTTTGGAAGTTTACACGGCATTAACTTAGCTTAAAACATTCTTAGACTAGACTTAGACTTTCATCATCTTAAATGAAACATTTATGTATTATCGTTTATCGTTTAGCTGAAAAGACGCGTGGTCAAAACTTGTTTTCGTTTTAGTATAGGTGTTAGTTAGAGCTTAGAATAGTAGAGAGAGAGAGAGATAGAGAGAAAAATTTAACACACGCACACAACCAAACGAACGACACCAATTAGTTTGAATAAAACTCGGAACGAACTGAAACCAAATCAAAACAAACATACAATAAAACCAAAAAACATTACTTTGTACAATCGTTGGATAGTGTATGCCATAAACACGGTCTGTCTCTGGTTTGCTTTTTTTGTCTGTTTCTGTTTCTGTTTCTGATTCTCTGTCCCTGACCATGAACCAGTTATGTATGTATGTATGTGTCTTTGAGTCTGTATTTGTGTCTGTGTAGCATTGCAGTGGCAGTGGCATGCGAAACTGATAACTGACAGGAACAGGAACTGGAACAGCAATGGAGCATGGTATCCTTTGATAGAGCAGTTGCCTCTGTCTCCTTTGTGTCTTTTGGCATTTTGCTGTGCGTTTCCCGGCCTCACTCAAGAGTCTGAGGCTGAGTGTCTGAATCTGATGCTCTGAATGCTGCTGCTGCTCGTGGCATGTGTGATATGTGAGATACAGTTAGGAAAAAAAGCGGCACACACACACATAGAGAGAGATAATAATAAACTAGCGAAACTTAACTAAAGCACACAATTGAAAACACAAAAAGTTTACGCACACCACACTCGATATTTGGATACTCTTCTGCTTGGAGTTTGTTGTTGAAGACTCAATGAATTCTTTATGAATTTATTGCATTACTTTTCGTTATGGGAAAGAGTAATCTGCTTAAACCCTATCTCAAATTCTATTATACGTGTTTTTTAATAACGAAGTTTGATCATTTCTGGTCAGACTTATAACAGATTAGAATTATTACTATATTAGACCCTGAAGCCACATTCAAAATCCAACCCTGAAAAATTCGTGTACCAAACACATCTATGGCCGTTACTCATCTACATATTTATATTATCTGTAATGATAGTTTATAGGAGCTAATATTTGAAGCCCAAATGATCACGATATTTATCTAAAATTCCTACATTCTCTACAGAATCTGTGGATTTCAAGCCTTGCTTGGAATTCCATTAAATCTTATCCAAAGATATATCTTTCTTCTATGAATGTATACCCTCCAGCAAGAGTAAATAAGAGTATCCAAAATTGTTCTACTTGGTCGCTATTTTTTTTTTGGCTGTCGCAGAACGAAATACAGAACAAAAACAGAGCCAACTGTCTCGAATGCGTGTGTGAGTGAGAGGAAGTTCGTATATCTGTGTGGCAGCAGGGTGGTCAAGTGCCACTAAAAGTGGTAGCTGCTGCCATTGACTGTGTGTGTGTGTGTGTGTGAGAATAGTGTATTTGTTGTATCCGTGAGAGATGTCCTCACTCTGGTTCTGCTGTCATTGCTGCTCTTGTTGTTGTTGCTGTTATTGTTGTTGGCTGTTCCTCATCTTCTTTTTTTTCATTCTTTCTTCTTTTTTCGCGTGTATGTGTGTGTGTGTGTACTATATACATACATTTATGAAATAATAAATTTGATTTAATTTTTTGGTTTTTCAGTGTATTGTTGTAGCTGTTTGTTGTTGTTGTTATTGCTGTTTGTTGTTGTTGTTGTTGGCTGTTACCTCTAACATGGGCGGCGGACTGGCCGAGCTTCCCATCGAGGAGATGCTGGCCACCGGCGTCATTCCATCGATGTCACAGTCGGACGTCGTGTCCGAGTCGCTCAGACGCGACATGGTGCTCGGCGGTGATAAATGATCTGTCGGTGTCAGTATCAGGCCGTCCACATCGCTGCCCTCGTCACGTAACTGTACATCGTACATCGTACATCGGTGGTTGTGGGTGGTGGGAGGTACAATATGTGGGTGGTTGGGCAGTTGTTGGTCGTTGTCATACATTTTGCGTCGAAATGTTCGTTCGGTTCAAAATGGAACGACGGAACGAAACGAGAGAGAGAGAGCGCACGTGTGGTGGTTGTTGTTGTTGTAGTTGTAGTTTTAGTGTAGGTACGTTGTTGTTGTTTTTTTGTTGGTGATTTTTTGATGGTTGTTTTCAGGGGGCAGTGGTGTAGGCGGTAGGGTGCACAACAAAAGAAAAGATAATGGCAAATGCTGAGAGTTAATAATTTAGTTCAAACCGGGTACACAGCTGCTGCAGAGCGGGGTTTTCGGGCGGGGGCGGGAAGGACATTTACATCTAGTTTAACGAAAATCAAAAAATTGTTCAACAAAACTAAAGTCAAAAAACATTTCTCTTTTGTGTTAAGTTTTTCACTCGCATCAAACTTTCATCTCAGGCCTGAAGCCTAAAAAACTATTATTTCCCTTGGTGCAGGGGGCTGGGGGTTTAGTTTTCTTTTTTTTTTGTTACGTTTACCAACACCACACTCAAGAACGTAACGGAATGGAACCGAAAAACGAACGGAAAATGAGAAAAACGAAACGTAAGCACGGAAACCTGGCCTGGCCAAGACATACGAGATAGGAGGTGTCCTGATGCGGCTGCAGTTGATACCATTCGGCCTCGTCGTCCAGTATGTGATGGGCCAGATCGATGACCACCTCGCCGATGAAATCGTTGGCCCCATAGCGCACATAGTCCCACAGCGTCACCTTTAGGGTAGAGGAGGTATACCAAAGATCAATACGAATCCATGGGGACCCCCATCTAGTACCTACCTCAAGCAGCCGTCCATTAAGATCACAGCGTCGCAGACCCGAATAGAGAAAGGTCTGCGCCCAGCGCGGTTCGCAGGTGGTGCCCACTGTCTTTGTCCGCCGCTTGGACTTGTGGCTGCGATCGGGCAGAAGGAACACCTGAAAACGAGGACGACACCATAAGATCACACCTCTAGGATCTCTAATCTTTTACTCACTTTTGCATAGGGATTGCGGCCTGCTCCGCTCTGGCGCAGGGACAGGCCTGTGGCACACACCAATGTCACGATCAGCTGGAGTGTGTTCTGATCGTAGCCGAGCTTCAGCTGCAGCCGCCCCTCGATCGGTATCGGTTGCGTCGTCGTTCCCGCCCCACTGCCCATCCCCAGGCCCCCGTGGGTGCCATGCAAATGTACGGACGGCAATGGCTGGTGGCAATGATGGTGGTGATGGTGGCCCGCCGTCGTTGTGCCGTGCAGACCTCCGCCCGGGGCGGAGGAAGAATTCGTCGACGCGGCGGCGGGAACGGAGGCGCCCTGAAGACTGCCGGACGCTGCGTGGACGCTGCTGGTGGTGCTGCTGCCGCTGACGCTGCCACTCCCACTGCTGCTGTGGCTGTGAGTGCTGTGGCTTGGTCCCAGGCGCTGTATATGCTGCGAGGCGCCGCCACGTTGACTCCGTGCCCCGTTGCCCGCTCCCGATGCAGCTGTTACGTGGATATCCGGCGAACCGGGTGAGGTTATCAAAACACTGGGCTTATCACGATGGATTTCAATGGCCTCAACCGCTGGGGCTACACATCGAAGAGGAAATAGAGGTAGAAAGATGGTTAGGCTGGTGTGTTGAATATTGGTTTAGATTCGATCAAAAACTGTTGCGGTTACTGTTTCAGTCGGGTGCTTGTATCGTTAGTCTGGTATTTATTTGAGGCTAAAGACAATCAATGCCGCTTTATATGTATTTTCCTGACTGTAGTAGGTGTTAATGAAATGTATATTTGTATACCCTCAAAAGGAGACCCAAACCCAAGGGTCTAGTGTATGCTAATCAAAGACTTTCTCTTTTTCAGACACACCCAAACACACACACACACACACACACACACACAATAGAGAACAGCTCTCCTTATAGACTATATAGTACCTTTGCGCTGTAGATATCGTCCGCCGCTGCTGACCACCGCACTGCCAGCCATGCTAGTGGCCAGGCCGCTGTGCGGAAAATTGGCCGTAGAGCGGCGCGGCGGAAGGCTGCTGCTGTTGGTGTTGGTGGAGCAGGCACTGCTGGGACTGACGTTCTGGCTGCTGCCGCCACTACCACTGATCGGACGACTGACAATCAGTTCCACCTGGGCATCCAGGCGGCTCTCGTCGATAATGTCGTAGACCTCATCTGCGCTCTTGTTGTGCAGATTCCGGCCATTCCACTCGATGATCTCGTCGCCTGCATCGATGACATTCGATTGTTGATGTGTGTGATGGTGATGTGTATGATCGATGAACGCATACAGAGACAGAGAGAGATACAGAGAGAGAGAGAGAGAGAACAGAGAGAGAGAGAGAATGTTCAATGAGTGAGTAGAATGGCTAGGATGTTGGATGGCAAATGTTACCTGGTCGTATACGGCCTTCTAGATCGGCCACCGATCCGCGTTTCACCTTCTCCACAATAGCACCGCATGGACCTCCTCCTACTCCTACTCCCAATGGTCCACCTCCTATTCCTCTTCCTACTCCTCCGATGGGCTGGCCGCCGTTGACCTTTAAGCCTAATATATCTTCCCCATCATAGTATTTACGTAATATCATGTGCCCAATCAAGCGAGTATTATCCGCGGATGTTTGCCAATTCACCGGATTCTATATATCGATTGATACATGTGGATACAGTGGGTGGTTGGGTGGTGGTTTGGTGGTTTGGTGGATGGTGGTTGGTGGTTGGTTGGACAGTGATTATATTTGGTTACGGATGATAGATCGTGCAATGGCAATTTTGCATAGATTTTGGTTGTTGTTGTTGTTGTTGTAATCGATAGATCGTGTGTAATCGGTGGATATCGTGGATGGGGTGTTGGTTTTTTGTGGACGCCATCGTATGCAGGAATAGTAGTAGTATATAAATGATTATTGATTTAGTTATTGATTATTGCACCATACACAGAGTTCTTAGAGAGACAGAGAGAGAGAGAGATATATAGAGACTTACACTCTAGAGGTTAATGGTTAATCTTACACATAGAATTTGACAAACGCAAGAAAACGAATAACAGCAATTAGAAAGCAACATTTTGTACAGGTTTCTTTGTTTGTAGTTGTTTTTTTGGTTTTCGTTTTACATACATTCCCGTTTTTTGTTGTTGTTTTGTTCTTAAATTCTAGAAACATTTTCTACTTTTGAATTACGGATAGTTTGGCATAGCTCATAGATGTAGGATAGATTGTATAGATATAGATAGATAGATTCGGTTGGACATTTACGAGTATCATTCATGTTTTGTTTGGTTTTGTTCCTAAGTATACTTTTTTTTCGGTTGAGAACACACACGTTTCAAGAGTTTCGGGGGAGTGTTGTGTAGCGATAGAGTAAAAAACAGTGTTGGTCAACAGGTACAACATTTAGAGGATCATGCAAAAAGAGTTACGTGCAAGATAGGATTCTGGCTTTTGCTGTGTGATTGAGTTCCATGCAAGAAATACACAAAATATACATGCAAGAATTGTTGTATTTTGTTGTTGGATCTTTTTTCTGTTTCTGTGGATATTGGAATGGCTGAAAATTGTCAAGAGTAGTAGAACAGAGACGAGCGCAGAGAGAGAGAGAGAGAGAGATTACAAACCAAAAATGGGTTTTGGGGGGCTAGGGTGTTGGTCTAAGGCGTGTTCTCTACAATGCGATGGGGACATGACAAGAACAACAAACAGAGAGAGAGAGAAAGTTAACGAGAAAGTTGCTGGATCGTTCGGTTCGGTTCATCGGTGGGCCACACACAGACTGACAGAAGGAGATTCGGGAAGAGAGAGAGTACACCACTCAGAGAGACTCTACACAGACACAATGCAATTCGGAGAGGGGGTTCAGGTTGTGGTTCTGGTTCTTCCCCCTTTTGGAGCTTCGTCTTCGTTCGGGCTGTACCTTGGGGCCGTCGCCGCGGTTCGAGTCCTCGCTGCTGGTGAAGGTGCTGCTCGTATCGATACCCGAGTCCTTCGTGGCCGAGTCCTGGCTGCCCTGTCGTTCGGCCTCCCATCGAGCCCAGTCCCCAGCACTGGCCCCTTCCATGGGCGGTGGTCCCTGTCCCTGGCCCATTCCCATCTTTCCGCTGGTCAGTAGCGTGGCCGAACCCACATCCACCGCTGTCGATGGCAGGATCGTGGTCACCGGCGGCAGCGATCCGCTGCCCATCATCCCAGTTCCGGCCATGATGGAGGCCTCATCCTCGTGGGCATCGAAGCGCACTGTCTTCTTTATTCTGCGCTCGGTGAAGCGGCGCGAGTCCTGGGCCGCCGATGAGGAGGAGGTGCTGCCCCCGGCAGGCTCATCCCAGTAGGCCGCCTCCGTGGAGCTCACGGAGCTGCTGCCACCGCCACCGCCTAAGCCTTTGGCTCCCAACAGGGCACGCTCCCTGCTCAGGCTGCCCCTCGAGCTGCCGCCGCCCTGGTCAGCCGACATGTTGCCACCTCGATCATAGGCTCCCGAACCGATCACAATCTGTGGCTTGGACTGGCCCTGGCCCTGGCCCTGGCTGTGGTTGTGGTTGTGGGGGGGATAGTAGCTGCTGCTGGTGCTACTGCTGCTGCTGCCACCGCCACCGGTTGCGGCCAAGGGCGGGGCACGTCGGTAGGCGCCAGCACCACCAGTGGCTACCCCAACAGCTGGACCGCTGCCACTGGCCCCGAACTGTCGCTCGTGATTGGTGCGATTCAACGAGTTGCGCTGCTGCACGTCCAGTCGTGCCGTTCTGGTCAACGGATACTGCTCCAGGCGTTCGCGATGCTGCAGCTGCAGCTCGTAGCGATCCCGCTGGTCCGCCGACGCGTACAGCCGCTGGCTGGTGTGCGCCAACAGGCGGTAGTCACTGGATGTGCCGCCGGCACTGACGCTCAGTAGATCGCGCTCGTTGAGGCTCCGCTGCTGGCGCCAGGGATCCACTGAGGTGCGCACCTGTAGACGGCCGCCTGTAGAATGGTAGTAGATGATGATGTAGAGATGTACAAGGGGGTGGTGGGGGTGGGTTGGATTGATTTGATTTGATTTGATTGCTCTAAGGGAGGGGGAGATACGGATTCGGGGACTCGATTTCGAGGGGGTGGGTACTTCGCTGCTTGCCTGCTTATTAGTTTGTTGTCCTTTTCGAATTGTTTAACAAATGTTTAAAAATAATGATTGTTAATTGATTGATTGCTGATTGATAAAGCAAAAATAAAAAATACGTAAACGGTGGAAACGGGGGAAGCGTAGACTTAGACCCCCCGGGGGGCATGTTCTCAGTGTATTCAGATAGAGAGATATGTAGATGTATGAGTAAGCTAAGTATATGGATATCATAAGTAGACCTACGATTAAGAGCTACGAGAGTGCCAAGGGTTTTGCTTGGTCTGGGGTGTGCTCAAAGTTACTCAGGGGTGCCGTGCCTGGCTTTTGGGGTTCAAATACTTATCTGTGATGGCTAAAAGTTGCAAGAGCATTAAGAGTTATTCAAAGGGGGATCGGATCTCAAGGGGGCAGGCCTAGTATGACTTGTTTGGACAGTGTTATGTGTGTGTGTGTGTGAAGCAGTGTCATTTCTGGTTGTATTTTGTTGAAGTAAGGAGGAAACAGGAAACAGCGTTACGATATCCATGCAAATTATTCACCAAGTATTTCTTTTTGTTTTGTTTTTTTTTTTTCGAAATTTCATATTTTTGAATAAAGTCACATTTACAGAATAAGTAAAAGGAAAAAAGAAAACGTAACGAATACAAATAGTGTGGTGGAATTGAGAGAGAACGTGTTCACAGCCAAAAGATTGTGTGTGTGGAGAGTAATCGAGAGAAAGTGATGATTGAGAGAGCAGAGCAGAGTACAGTCTGAAGCAAAATCATCCTCGTTATATTTGTATAATTATAATCAGGGAAAACAAATGTTTTGCAAGTTCAACAAAATTCTAGGGTGTGTATCGAGGGGGTGAGAAAGTGTGTGGGTACGACAGTGCTTGAAGAAAGTAAACAACGTATACGGAAACAAACATTGTACATTCCTTGAATTTCGGTTTTGTGGACATTGAAACAACTTATAAGAAAATTAAATACAAGAGACACACACACACACATTCAAATTTCATTTGTATTTTTTTTTGTTTTTTATTTTTGCTTACATTTGCATGAATCTGTAGATCGCCGGGCGAGAGAACTTTTTGGACACCTTGAACGCCGCCAAAATTACCTGCTATGTATTTGGTTTTGAGTGGTTTTTAGTATAATTTTTTTTTTCGTTTTTGATTTCAAATTTTTTTACATTTAGAAGGGGAGGGTGGTTTTTTTTTTGGCATAGTAAAATAGTATAGTAGTTTTTGTGGCGGGCAAGATTTTTGTTGGTTGTGGGACAGTTCAGAGAGAGATAAGGGAGAGAGAGAGAGAGAGAGATAAGGGAGAGAGAGAAAGAGTGGAGAAACACACATATGAAAATAATAGCAAAAATGTGACGATACGAGAGGGTAAAAGTGACTTTAGTAGACTTAAACTTATGTTTTAATACTTATATGAACTAGTTCTTGATTTGAACTAATAGAAGTACAGATAAATGAACTAGTTCTAAATTTAGCCTAATTTTGAGCTTAATAATATATATTTATAGTACAAATACTACGACGACAAGGAGTTGGTTTTGGTGTACGGAACTAGTTCACTAAGGGACTGCTTCCGGCGGAACTATTTTACTAAATGATTGTCTTCGGAGTGCCCGAGAAAGCAGCTAAAAGCTTTTTCTTATATTTATATAAAAATTCAATACAATTTTCAAATTCAACAAAAATTTGTATTAATTTTTGTCTGCCCCTGAAAGCAGGCAACGCATTTTCCAGCATTTCTTTAAAAACAAATGCTCTCACTTTTGCACACACTCACGCAAGAGAAACCTCCACTCAGACAATCGCCTTGGGTGGGAAAAAGAACTAGTTTTTCCGACACACTCTCACACACACACACACACACACAGAGAGAGAGATACCCTTGTGTTTGTGGGCCATACCCCTGGCATACTTTCATTTGACTTTGGTCACGATACAAAACGTTTATTGTGCGCATAATGGCCAACAACAACAAAACAGCAAACAAAACAAAATACAAAAAAGAAACTACACAAAAATTACATACATATATAAACATAACAACAGCAACAACAACAAAAGCAAAACAGCAATGTAAACAAAAGAAGGTAAGAAAATAAAACAAAGAACACAAAGAAAAAAGTAAAGTAAATTATTTGGGAAGCGAGTGGCAGCAAACCACACGCACAATTGCAGGCGGGACTCTACAGAGGAGAGGCGCTGGGCAGAAAGAGGCGACAATGTGTTGGAAGTGTCGAGAGGGGGGGTGGGGGCTGGGGGCTGGGCGCAGACTAAGAAAAGGAGAAAGCAAAAATCAATAAAGTATACAAAAACACGGTCATTTCTGTCCCTTGGCGACCTTTTCTATTGTTGTTGTTGTTGCTGTTGTTGTTGTTGTTGTACCGACGCCTATGCTTCGTGTTGGTGTTGGTGTTGTTGTAATTGGTGTTGGTGTAGGTTTAGTCATTGCTGTTGTTAGATGTTTTAAATGTTGTTTTGTTTGCTACTTGCTTAATTGGTGTTTCTGTTGTTGATTTTGTTGGCATCGCTGTTGTTGTTGGTGTTTCCTTTCCTGTTGAGTTTGTGCAAACTTTCTGCACAATCATCGTGCATTGTGCAATCGCAAAACACAATTACAACAAACACCAACACAAAACGCAGACGAAAAATCAAACAAAGTTTACACTGGTGTGGGTGTGTGTGTGTGTGTGTGTGTGCTTGCTTCCTGCTTTATATTTTTGGCCATAAATTCAAGCCAGTTCGGCTGACACCCAAAGGGAGGGGGGTGGGCAGAGGGCGTAGGAGAGTGGGTGGGCGGATGGGAATGTAGGTGTAATGGGCGTTGGGCTGGCAAAAGGACACTAAAATCATCATCATCATCAGCAGCAGCCGTAGCCGCAGCAGCAGCAGCAGAAGGATCGGCAGTGGGAGTAGGAACAAGGAGCAAAAGGGGAGCAGGGAGTCGGGAGCTGGGAGCAGCAGTAGCTTGTGCTATTTTTAAACCAACGCACACTCACACACTCATGCACACCCACCCACACAGACAGACGCAGGCGCATAAATAGCACACAAACAACCACAAAAACAAACATAGAGTCACACGCACACAGCAGCAGACACACACACACATACTAGAGAGGGACACACAAACAAACACCTAAAGAGACAGAGAAGGGACCCCTCACGAGAGAGAGAGTGCGAGCGAGAGAGGGGCCCTCGCACACGCACAACATGCGTTGGCGTCCTTTGCCTTTGCCTCCTACCAGGCCTCAATGTTCGCATTAATGTCACTCATACGCACAGTTGCACATGCAAACGAACAACAACAGCAGCAGCAACAGCAACAGGGAAACACAAGAACACACACACACCACATCAACGTCAATGTCAACTGGTGTTGGTCAACGTTTTAATTAAATTCATCCTCCCATTCCCCCCTACCCTTACCCATTCCCAATTCCCTCACGCCTCGCCTTGCCTACAGTTGGTCACATTTTAAAATAGTCAAACACTCACTCACTCACTCACAGACATACACATACTGTTACTTCCGTATAGCCAAACCGTACGATATGTCCGTAAGCACCCACAAATGCGGTCTATATTTACTTATTCACAGCCTGGTCACAGCGCCCATATGCGACACATTTCGCGTTGATGTTGTGGTTGCCATTCCGTAGGGTTCTTTTTTTTTTGGGGTTTTTTATTGCTCTTTATACCACACCACACCCCACCCGGGGGTCTATTGATTTGCTGTGTTTAATCGAAAATGTAATTAATTTCCAAATAATTTGTAGCTAATCGTATGGGATTTCGACTGGAAGAGACAGAGAGGGAGTTGGATAGACTGCATTTGAGGTTCGCATTGAAGGCTGGTTTGAAAGAGGGATTCTAAATAATTCACCTCTAAATCTAGTGGAGCGAACTAGTGCAATTAATCTACATTCTAGTTCAAAGCATAGGACCTATAACCAAGGTGCGCCTCTTCTATAAGTGGAAAGCCATAAGAGGTTCCTTTCAGGCCACTTTTAGTACCTTTTTCAACCCTACAATTAGATGATTACTCTTTCCTCTTATCATACCTCTCCCTTTTGGATTAATACACTGCAGATTACAATATACAGAATGCTACAACCTCTCCCCAATTCCCTTCGATGAAAACCTCCCTAAAGGTTTAAAGATTCCTATTCCCGATCTTATGGCTGCTGCTGCTGTGCCGTTGTTCTGATTGTTTTTGCTGGGATTTAGGCTGGGATTTTTTTGGCATGGACATGGCATACAATACCATTTTTTGTTTGTACGCTATAAGCTTTTTTTTCTGTGCGCTAATCTATTTGCATTTTGCATTTAAAATATTCCGCTTTTTTGGCTGTCTAAGCGTTTTTCGTGTGGGTGTTTGGGTGGCTGGTGTATGGACTGTGTGGCAGTTGTTGTTGTAGTTGTTTTTGTTGTTGTTGTTGTGGGTGCAATCTGGAGAAGCGTTCACTAAACTGCAACCGACAGACACTCACCTTAAAGACGGCTTTTTGCTTTGATTTAGCTCAAATTTTGGTTGATTTTTGAGTTGGGCTTTAGTCTTTTTTTGATTGAATATCTCTCGGGGTTTATTTCTGCGAATTTTCTTTTCTTTTCCTCGCTTTTCTTCCTCTTTTTGTTCACATTTGGCTCTTGGCTGGAGTGTTGCCTAATTTGCTGTACAAATTGCGAGACATGTAAGCAGCAGGCCTACACCTACACACACACCCACACTCAGACACACAAGCTCAGGTGGAAACCCTGGGAAAACAGACCCTCGAGTGAGAGAAGATTGCGTGGCAGTACAGTAAACAAATCGAGCATTTCATCCTCTAGGAAAATAAAACAATAATAATA